CCTCTGTGCACCGAGTATCTCCTTTGGGCCGACAGGGTAAAGATCGGCCAGTAAAATGGCTAATCATTTAGCTGCGCCAACCATAAGCCATAAGATCATCTAAGCAAGCAGACTCACCGTGGAAGATTCGGTGAGACTTTTTTTTTAACCTCTATTTTCTTTGTTTTCCTGTGAAAAGCTTTTTTTTTCTTTTTCAAACTACTTCCCTTTTTGTTGAAGTGGCGTTTTAAATGGGGGAAGAGAAGCTTAAGAAAAAGATTAAATCTATTTTTGTTTTAATGGCTGATTTTTTTCTTTGGATACTTGGAAGCCCCAAGAAAATTCTTTAGAGAGATTTAAGATCCTATATATTTGAGTATTGTTTTCTTTTATTTTTATGGGATCCGAAAAGACTGATTATTTGATTAACTTTGATTATTCATTGGGGGATATTTTCTGTTGAAACTAGGTATTGTTCTTGCTATTTTTTTTCTCTTGGAATTTGTTCAAAGGAAAAAGACTAAGAAACTTGGGAGGAGATGGATATTGATTGCCTTTAAATATAGTCTCCCCCCCAAAAAAAAGGTAAAGTCCTTCAAATATGATAAAAATGGAAGAAACCCGTTCAGATTCGATTTATAAATATATTTTGGACAAAATTTTAGAAAACACGGAGGTGATAATTGTCTGCAAAAAGAAGATTTCTTTACATTGACAAAGCCAAGCACAAGGTTTAAGTGAAACTGTAGTTTATATTCAAGAGGCTTGCTCTCAGTCTACTGAGATGGAAGAAGCAAATGTACAGTCGGATTATCAATTGATACTGGGAAAAAACCTTGATATAAATGGACAGATGATTTATAATAAGGAAATGGAAGAGATCACCTCAAAAGGACAAGCTAATTTGCAGATACCATTTGACTCCCTGATAGAGGAAAAACTATTGGAAGAAGAGCAAAATTTGATTAAAGAGGACTATATTAAAAAAATGATTTCAGCTAAAGTTTATGCAACTTTTAAAAAGATGGGAAATAATGTTGTGGCACGAGCTTTTCAGAATGACTATAACTTTTATATTATCCCAATAAAATGGATAATGGGAGAACTCCTGTTGCTGTGTACAGTGTGGCAGGAGACAATGGGAGAGCTATTTGCGGATCTAGAGACTCGACCATGGAAACCTATTTGGAATAGAAAGAAACCCAGAATGAGATATAAAGATTAAATCTGAGATGATAATTATGGATGGTAAAGGTTTTATAGTGAAGCAGACTGTCTTGGATTTGGTTTTTGCTATGGGAAGCTATTATGAAATGATTTAGAACTTAATATTGAAGTATAGTAAGAATATGTGGTTTTTTTCTTTATTTGTGTATGTTTGTTTCTTCTTTTTTGTATTTTCCTTTTGGAATGAGATGGAATTAATAACTGGAGAATTATTGAAAAAGAATAGAAACATAGCTGAGAAATGTAAGAACTTAGTTTCGGAGCTAATGTGTTTAAATAAGAGGAATTTGGGGTTCCTGAATAGTAGAATAAATAGGTTAGTTTAAATTTAAATATCTGAAAAATTAATGACATTTAAAACAAGATTTTTGGGATAGATAAGGAGCTTTTGCAAATGTTTATTGATTAATGAAATTCATATTTAGCGATATATTTAATGAAAATCTTTGTCAGAAATGTATTAATGAGACTATAATTTAAACAGATAATGTTAGTTTTGATTTAAGCATTTAATTTACATATAGTATTATATGAATGAATGAATTGGTTATAGGATTGTATTAATTTGATTATTATATTGTTATTGAGCAGCTGAAAGTTTCTATTGATTAAGGAAACCTATATTTAGATATATTAATGAATGAATTTATTTGAATCTATTTGATTATAATATTCTACATAGATAGAGAGGGAAATTTTAAGAAATATTGTCTGAATTGTATATTTATAATCTTATTGTTTCTTTTGTAATTGATCACCATATCTCCACGCTGGCTCTTAAGCTTCTGTTGGTGTAAAATGGAAAACTAATAAAAATTGTTTATTAAAAAAAAACATTTTTACCTGATTACCTGAATCAGAGTTTATTCAATTAATTCAATTTTCCAGAATCATAAACAATCCCTATGGGTTGAAAACGCACATTAGCCTAAGATGTGGTTGGCTAATTAGCTGTGTTGTGAGAACACAGCTTCTGCTACACATCTTCTGTTCAATTCTTTATGACTCTGCCTGTGTAATGCAAACAATCACTGTTCAAATATGCAGCAAGTGGCTTCTGAGATGACTCTGTAGGTGTAGATTTCCTTCCTTGCAAATAAGAAGACCTCTGGTAATGACACAGGAAACTATAATTAGCATGTGCAGCAGCATTCCTGAATCTTGCTCATCTTTCTCCATGTTTGACAGAGGTGCATGTATCTCTCTCACCAGCTCCTGCTGTTCTTGCCTGAGCAACTTCTATCTGATAGCATCCCACTAATTAAGCCTCCTTGACATTGGGGCAAGGAAATCTCTTTGAAAATATGAGGTGCCAATTAGGGATTAGGCTAGGGCAGAGTTAGGAAACCGGGGAAAGATGGAGATCCAGTTGACTTCTGAGGCTCTACAGTATTTCCACACATAGCTTTGAAATTAGGCTGTGGGTGAGAAGTTTTGTATAGATATAGTAGAAATAGCAGCAGCAGCAGCATGCTTCATGGATCCTGATCAATCTGTTGCCAGAAGGTTTTGAAAAAGTTTTTGCGTTTCTAATGTAGGAATCTGAAAGATCTGGCTTTGCTGGACTAATGAATAGAATAGAGCTGGAAGGGACCTTGGATGTCTTCTAGTGCAGAGCTCCCCAACCTTTCTGGGTTGGCGGCTTGAGAGAAAGGGAGGAGCAAGGAAATGTGTGTGTGCATGCACACGTGCGCAAATGGGCTGCTAGCACCCTTGTGCATGTGTAAATGGGACTGCTAGTGCCTGCGCAGATAAGCTAGAGAAAGTGGGGTGCGTGCACGCACATGTGTGCACACTTGCCAGCCATTCCCATGGCCTGATGGCCAACAGGCCATGGCCCAGTACCGGGCCGCAGCCCACAGATTGGAGACCCCTGTTCTAGTCCAGACTCCTGCTCAAGCAGGAGATTCTATACCATTTCAGACAAGGGACTCACTAGTCTCTTCTAAAAAATCTCCAGTGATGGAGCACCCACGATTTCTGAAGGCAAGCTGTTCCACTGGTTAATTGTCCTCACTGTCTGGAAGTTTCTCCTTAATTCCAGGTTTGATCAGTTTCCAATCATTGTTTCTTGTCCTGCCATCTGGTGCTTTGGTGAATAACGTGACACCCTCTTCTTCGTGGCAGCCCCTCAAATACTTGAATACTGCTATCATGTCTCCCCTATTTCTTCTTTTGTTTAGACTAGCATAGCTGGTTCAGGAATTCTAGAAGTTGAAGTCCACGAGTCATAAAAGAGCCAAGGTTACCTACCTCTGGACTAATCAAACCCAATTTCTGCAGACATTTTTCGTAAGTTTTAGACTCCAGGCCTTCGATCATCTTAGTTGCTCTTCTCTGAATTTTTTCCAAAGTCTCAACATCCCTCATGAGGAACAGACATAACACTAAGAAAGGATGGCAACTCCTTTCTATCATCCCTTCCTAGTTAGTTGCCCATTTGCAAGAGGCACTTCCTGTGACAGTTCTTCCTTTGTCACTTCCTGTGACAGAATTTTTCTGAATTCATGGTAGATGCAGCCTGCTTGTATCCACATCTGCCCTTGGAGAGACACAGTTGATAACACTTTGCAGGCAACACCCTCTGCTCTTCTCAAGGTCCAAGTTTCAACCACACATACACAAACACTCCCTGAGAGGAGATGCAAGTCTGATATACAGAAATCTGTTGCAAATCACTACCGTCTCAACAGGAAGCCTTATGTTTCTTGCATACCAAGGTTTTGTGCTGGCAGGTTACTATCATTACCACATCTGGTGCTTAGAGGCACTCTTCCTCTTCAATGCAGCCTTTCCAAATCTGGTGGCAATCTGATGTGTTGAGTTCCCAAGTTGCAAAATTCCCAACCATCTGGACACCACCAGGACGAGGATGCTGCTTTTTTGTTATTTCATATAGGCTATAGTATAATATTAGTCTTTCAGTCTCTATGATAGAAGCAGATCATATCAACTTCTGTCTATCATTTCTAGTCAAAATCTTTTTCTGTTACAGATCAAGGATGTTGACATTAGATAACAAGAGGAGTATATGTGCATCAGTGATATTGGCAACAGAATTCACTTTAACTCTAGTCTGAACATGAGTTTTGAGATTTTGAGAAATGGAGACTTTTAACTAAGGATGATTACAAGTCCCAGTTCCAAAAAAATAAAATGACAGCTGTTTCAGATTTTAAATATATTACAAATATATTACAAAAAGTTGTCTAAAATGGAGCATGTGACATGCACACATTAGGTAGTAACTGGTTTAGCTTAGCAGGTCTTGTGAACATATCCAATCGCTCCTCTTTCCTAGTAGCAATAATACAATTCTCTACATAAATTCTGTAGCAAATTTTCCAAGTAGAAAGTTTTCCATAACTGCCATAGCTATATCTATTACAGTGGTTCTCAACCTGTGGGTCGGGACCCCATTTGGGGTCAAATGACCATTTCATGGGGGTCGCCAAACAAGGCTGTCCGCCATTCCCCCCCCCCCTTTTCTTTGGCTATGCCCCTGGCACCCGGTGATGTATAAGTGGTTAAGGGTCACCACAACATGGGGAACTGTATTATGGGGTCGCGGCATTAGAAAGGTTGAGAACCACTGATCTATCACAACTTTGGGGAAATCAGAAGCTTCTTCCTCATAATAATTAAAAAAAAACTTAAAAGCAAATTTTGCCATTGAGAACTGTTTTAAAACATTGTTATGTGGTTTTAAATCTTGAGGAGTTTATGAGTTATTACTGATGAGACATTTAGTTTTATTTGAACTTTCATTGAAGTTCAAAGCATGACAGTTTGGATTTTAGAATTTTATTGGAGATAGTGGATTTTCCAGCATTTGAGAATTTGCTAGGTTTAATCATCATGACATTTCATCACAACTTACACTTGTGGTTTTATTAATATGTTCATGTTTCACAAATATGAAAATGTCCATCTGGACTGCATTGTTTCCAATATGATTGAATGTTTCTCCCTTCAAAAAGAAAACTAGCCGATGGAGGGAAGTATTCTGTCCTAGATTTCTCCATGACATGATACTTTCCTGTAATTAGTGATGGCATAAAGTCTGGCATGAAGTTTTTTATAAAGAAGGGGGAGGATTCACTGATGCCTCCATCGTCAGTTCTTCTTAGTACATTCTACATACAGAATTCCCCTTTTAGTTAGAAATTACTTCAACTTCTATTCTGAAGAATAGTTTCATTCATGGAGCAGGCAACCCTGCAGCTCCCTTCCCATTACTGCAGGACAACCCTGCAGCTCCCTTCCCATTACTGCAGGACACCGTCCACCATGTGGGTGGACGGTGAAGATCTGACCTAAGAAATTAATTAAGAAGAAAATTCTTTAATTTTCCCTCCATACAGCTGAAGTCAGCATTTCTTTCTGCCCTATGGAAGTTACCTGAGGCTTCCTTTCACTAGGATTCAATATACAGACCAGTTTTGTTTTGTTTTTTATGCCAAAGCCCATGTTAGGATTGAAAAGTCTCTTAAGTATAGAGCAGAGCTTGCTAGAGCCCAGGCAGAATGTTACCAATTGCAAAGTAGCAGCCAGATAACTATTTGCCTCCCACATCTATTTAAAAATAAATAAAATAATCCACTTCTACACACTCACAGAACTGCTAGTAGCTATGATTTAAGAAATCTGAAGTCGATGAGATTAACTAATAAATATAACCCTCTTATTTGTTTCCTTATATGGTCAATCTTATATTTCAAAGCTGTTTTCCAAGATGTGTCTGTCTCCCTACAAAGCATGTAAAAGCAGCACTTTGGCATTGAACTGATTGCATGCCAGAGAATGAACATCTACACAGGATGATCATGAGTCAACAGGACTAATCCTGGGAGTGGTGCCACAGCAGGCTGGATTTGGAAAGCCCTTATATAAGTGTTCTGGGGCAGAGTTAAACTCATTGCCCTCAATTCTTTTATGACCCAGCTACTGCTTCCCATCCCACCCCCCTCATTTGAGCATTGCAAAACAACACACAGTTGGGCAATCATCTGAAATATACTTTCTCTCCTACATTTGCCCCAAGAAGAAAGCACTTACGCTGTGGGAAGATGCTACCAAGTTCAGAACCAAGCTCTTGATTATTTGACAGTAGATCTTTCAGGGATTCAATTTTGAAAATTTGAGAATTCTTTTTAAAAGTATACTATCCAATGTTAGATACAGTCTCTCCCCCCCCCGAAGCATTATTCTTCATAAATTACCTCTCATTTCCATAGAATATGCTCTCTAGGCAAAATCTGCACAAACATTTCTTTTGTTTAAAAGTTAGAACTGTGAACAGAAGAATTGCTGTGGGCTGTCCTTAAATTACTTAAATTACCCAAAACCACTTAACCATTAGTGCAGTATCAGAAAGACAGGTGTAACACAGTTTCTTGAATCATGCCCTCCAGAAGTGAGGTACTATATTATCACTCCCATCTTTGTACACGGCATCAGTTCAATGGTTGAGAGATGCAAGCTGTAGCCCAAAATGGTTTCAGGATGCTCATTTGGAAAAGTCAGGAATCATAACACAAAGGGCTTCATTTGAGATGGGGCTTTCTTAGACTTTAGAACCTGTTTTACTAATGCTACATTGCAGTCCTCCAGTAAGGAAAAAGGAATACACATATCAAAAGAGAAAACCAAGTAGCTCTCACTTCACCATTGTATAAATCACCATTATGTTTACTTATTACGTTTACTTAGAGAACTGAAGGTCAAATTACTAAATTTAGTGAATGTACCAATAACCTTCTTAAAGTTTTTTTTAATTTCAATTTAGGAGCATACCACTGTGGACTCAAGGGCATCTCATTTTGGAAGTCCATCATCTCAACAGGTCACTTCTAGCATTTTGAAATTCTTTGGAAAGAGAAGTCTTTTCCTGCACTGTTCTATTCTCAGGCTCACAAATGAACCCTTTAGAAGCAAATGGAAAATGAAAATGTATACATAATTTTGGACCAGGAGAATTAAGTAATTTAAAATATACATTCATAAGCCCTTGTGGGTTTCATTCCAGCAGGGGTATTTGAAAAAGATATTTACTGAAAGATTTCTCCCCCTCACTAGCCATTTCCAAGTTAATGCCATTTTGATATGTTAAGGCTAAAAAATGTATAATTTCCAGCCTACAAGGGTGTTATCCAACATATTTGGGAGAATATCAACTTAGAAAAACCTGCTATAAACTAGGCAATAATTTCAGCTGAAGCCAAATTACAATCCAGCAAGAAGGAGAGAACTGGAGCCAGTGATTAAATTTCCACGGCGGACTGCAAAAATGTACAAGATAGGCTCAATTTAAAAGAATAAGCACAAATATAACTGCATCCATCAGCAAAACAACTCTAGTAGATGGTACATTTCTTTTGGTCTCAAAACTGATTATGTAAAATTTTACTTGATCTACTGATGGAAGCTAGAACTATTGGGAGCACAATTTTACCTAAAAACCTTGCTCCCTTTTAGTTGTCTGGCTGGAGTGATCATGTGCTTAGAAAAGCATTATACTTACGTTCAATTTTATCTACCAAAACAAAAAAAAATTGAAAGATAAAGGAATTTTTTTTAAAAAAACAACAACACAACAGCATAAAATCACACTGAAAATAATGTATTAATCACATGCAGTTGCATTTTATTCCTGTAAAAATCTTTGCTTTTTAAATTACTCTTTACTGTGTAAGAGGAACCTAGTCCTTGAAAAGTTCATTTGGAAGTTTTACCTCAATTCAAACTGCTGTCAAAGCATAAGCCAAGCACCAAATCTAGACCTCTGGTAGTTGTGCTTAGAAGTGGGAAGTATTATCAGAAAAGAAATACCTGTAATTTTACAGCCTCTCATATCCTCTCACTTCTGTCCCTTTACTTTTCTTTCCAAATATAACATTCAAAGCCAATTCATTCTCTCAAGCAAAGCTGTAGCCAATACTTTGTTTCTAAAATGAACTATGCCAAAGCTTTAACCTATCTGGGAAGGATTAATTAATTAATTAAGGAGATTGGAGAGTTGGCTGGTTTTTTTTAAAAAAAAAAAAAACAAGTAAAGAATGCCCTCATTAGAACAAGTGACGGATTCAAGAAAATAGAAAACAGCTGCAGCTGCCTTTTTCTCATTCTTGTTCATGTAATCTGCAACTGTTGAGAACAGTAGGTGATGACATCCATAGTGCCTTGAGGTCCAGCAGGGCTTTGCTGAATGTGAAATGCTGCTGGTCTTTCCAGAAAATACCATCTGATGCTTGTTTTTTTTCCCAAAGAAGCTGGTAGGCTCCTCCATACTCCAGTTGCCTGATTAATATATTGAAGATGACAAGAATGCCTTGCCCAAGTCTGCAAAACAATCTGTTTAATAACTTAAGTATTGTTTTCTGTAAAAAACAAGACTCTTTGAAAACAGCCCAAGAACATATTTTCTAAAAGTAAACTTAAGTATGAAGGGATTGTTGAACTCATAGAACACAACCCACTATTTTGAAAAAAGTTTCTCCTTCTCCAGTCTGGATAGTAGACATGGTAAATGTGTAGATATTCAACCCATTAATCTAATAATTAAAACCACTAAGGAAGAAACTGAAGACTTGTTGGTCGATTAGTTGCCATGAATCATACTTGGAATGAACACTAACTTTTGTCCAGGTGGAAACATTTCTCAGCGCTTCTTACTATTGCGAAGGAGTTTTTTGCGTTTGAGAATCATTTCATACAGTTTTTCCAGAGCTGGCTGGAGGCCTAGTCCATTGATGGCACTGCAACCATGGATGTGGCTCAAAGTTGAAGTGTATAGTTCATGTAAGCCAAGGTGTTTCTCTACCTCAGGTACAGAGAGTGCATGGGCCACATCCTGTTTGTTGGCCAGCACAAGCACGGGGATTCCCTGGTTGTCTGAGGAGTGGGCAATTCTGTGCAACTCAACTCGAGCCTCTTCCAAACGTTCAATCTCTGCTGAGTCCACCACAAAAACAACTCCATCTGTTCGGCGCATGTAGGATTTCCAGAGAGGACGCAGCTTTTCCTGGCCACCCACATCCCATACTTGGAAAGTGATGATGCGAGAGCCTCCCAGTGGCACCCGGATCTTCTCCATGTTGAAGCCTTTGGTAGGTGCACTCTTGATAAACTCCTGAAACTTCAAACGGTAAAGTAGAGATGTTTTGCCAGCTGTATCTAATCCAACCACGACCACATGCAGAGTCTGCAAGTGAGGCAGGAAAGGAGGCAAAGGTGCCAACTGATTCCCCATAGTCACTGAATTGACACCAAATCTTGAAAAGCACCAATAGATGATCACTGCTCACAGGAGCTAAGAAATTATGACAACAAGAAAAGTTAGAGTTAAGACTGAATTTAAACCCATGAAAGCATACAGTATTTATATTGGATTGTGCCTAAAGGTGTACTCTTCATCTTCATATTCTAGCTTTTTGCCACAGATGCAGATTCATCTTTTGGATATTAAGTACAAAGCTGATGTACCGTATATTCCGGCGTATAAGATGACTTTTGAGAGTGTCGAAACAGCCTCCGAACTCGGGGGTCGTCTTATACGCCGAGTCGTCTTATACGCCGGAAATAAGGTAGTTTCTGGCATATAAGATGACTTTCTAGGCATGTGACTCGGCATCGATCGTCTTATATGCCAGAAATAACGTAGTTTCTGGAGTATAAGACGACTTTCTAGGCATGCGACTCGGCGTCAATCATCTTGCGACTCGGCGTTGATCATCTTGCGACCCGGCGTTGAACTAGGGGGTCGTCTTATACGCCGGGTTGCCCTATACGCTGGAATATACGGTAGTTTTTCTTTGGGACCTATATCATATATGAAGATATTCTTGAGATATTCAAAATAAATCTAAATTAACAGAACTCTCAAATATCATAAGTCAAAGTTTACATTGTCCTGACATAAAAAAGGAAGACACATACAAAATAGCTATTGAGGCACTCCTTTGCAACAAAAAGAAGAAGCTGTGATTCTACAGATTCTGTTGAAAATTCCTGATCTAGACTATGCCCAAAGTAAAATCTCTCTTTACAATTCACATTAAAGAAACTTCTGCTTTTCAAAGCTTGAACCTTTTCTTCTGAGTTAGCCTAATAAAATTATTAGCCTAAAACAAAATTTAGAATGTCTATGACTAACATAAATAATCTTTATTTTTTGTATTATAAGATTTGTTCCCATTTATTCAAAATATATACATATCATTTTTTCACAAAAAATATGTTCTTGCACCTTAAATTCTAACAAATGCAGGTTAAATTCATTCTGATTAAATGGACTGGGACTTATGAAAAATGTTATTACTATATAAAATTTCATGAATTTAATAGGCTTTAGTGTATGTAGTAAAATGTAATTAGGATACCAGGAAGCAGTGCTTTTTTTTCTTTAAAAAAAAAAAAGTACCTGAACTCACACAGGTCATACAACCCACCTTGCCTACCCTACGCCAGGAAGTATTTTTGCTTTGTTTATTATTCTAAAGAACAAACAAACAAACCATCTCTCCCAATCCACATAAAGGCTAGATAATGATCAGCCAGAATTAAGTAATATCCCCCCCCAATTATGGACAACTCATAACCTGCTAATAATAATGATTCCCTGAAAACAGGAATCAATTTTTGTCAAGAATAATTTCCAGTCTTCAAACTGCTACTGAAATCAGAGACAAAAATTACTATAAAACAAAGCTCTATCATGTTTTCTACTATGACAGCAACTGCATTATTGCTCTTAAGAGGAAGCAGAGATCTTTACATATAGGAGGAAAAGATATTTGTATACAATCAGAAGAGTAATTTTTCCCTTCTTTACTAAACCGTCAGATCTGGACATTATTATCAGATTTAGATAGATATGTTCAATGCCTAGACCTTTGGGCTCCCCCACTAAGTATACAAAGAAAGGGAAAGGTCTGCACCCAAGAGCAGGCTAGAAGGCCCTATCAAATGCAAGCGACTGCAGTAGACTTAAAAATTAAGACTAATTTAAAAACGTGGACCGGCAAACATTCAGTCCACAAATGCATCAGAGAAGGAACTTGCAAACAAATTTACTCCAATTTTCCCTGAAGCTTTTTTTCTTTCTTTCTTCCTACAATTCAAACAAAGGAGATCGGTTTGTTGCTTCAGTTATAAACTACTTTAAAGTGACGAGACCGCAAATCTCGCGGAGCGCCTTCTAAATCCGCAGGTAGGTGACGAGACGGCGCAAGCGATCCAAATCTTTTATCTCTGAGTTACCCATTTCTTGTACAGAATCTGAACAATGGAAAAGAGTTAAGTCCGCTTAGAAGCATCACCCTGGATTTAGGTCCCAACCACCGAGCGAGGGGAAGTGTGCACTGTAAGCAATCCCCGGAGAGAAGGAAATAACTCCTCCTATATTCGATGTTTTTTTCATTTACAGTACTCTTTCGATTTCTAACATGAAATAAATTTAGTACTGAAAATAGGCGCCGAGATCCGGACCAAACTCAGATCTGCCTAATGAAAACTAGCCGGAACTTTACCTCCATTGGGGACCCAAGCTGATAACTGAACATCCACAGTCCGCAAGCACCCAGCCGGCGCCGCAGAAACTCTTCACGCGCACAACCCACAACTACCAGAGGAGCAGCTGCGATCGCGGAAAAGAAGGCGGGGTTTCTTCGGCACCAGTCAACGCCTGTCTGGAGCGTGGATGGCTGCAAAGAGGCGGAACCTTGGTGGAGGCGGGAGCAGGAGAGAGCCAACCAAAGGCTCTTATTGCGCTCGGTCTGGGATTTGTTTGAAAGGGAAGCGAGGGTGGAGGGTATCATTGTGGTATGGTTTACTTTTAGTTCCCAATTGTGTATCTTAACCCGGGGTTATGTGAAAGAGCAAAATGAAGCCTCAGCGTGTCCCCGGGAAGATGTGCAAAATTTATTTTTTTCCGTCAGTCGCATAGTTTATCACATAGGGCATATTCATATTCATATACTTCAACGTGAAAAATCGTTCCGGGGGCACGCTGAGCTCCCGAGCCCTACTCGCTTGTGAAAGACATGAAATCAAGATGGAGACAACGCTCCAGAGCACAGGCAAGAGGTTTCCTCCCTGGGAAATCGCTCTCCCAAACCAGAAATTTGAGGACCAGCTATTCAAAGGAATTTCAAATCACAGGCCGCCTGCCTGTGTTCGCACGGTTTACAGCCTAATGATTTGGGTCCGTATAAATGCTACACTAGAAAAGTCCACAGAGCTCTGTTTTTCTACGAAAAAGTTCATAAACTTAAGTCTGCACTTTTCTACTTCGCAATGAATTGTCATCGGAGGCATTCTCGCCGCTATTTGAGGACAGAGGCTCACAAGCCTCCTTCAACCGACCAGGCTGACGAAGAATCGTGATGCATTCTAATGTCCAAAAGCATGTGCTTAGAATACTACTTTATTTTCCTGAGCAACCGTAATCACTATTTTCCCCAGAAAAGTGAGACGAAAATGTAAAGATCCTTACCAGACCCATGCTTTGAACTGGCAGTAACGTCACCCTGTGCGCACTCTTATTAATTCCAGAATATACAAAGCGCAACCTTCGGAAATGGAGCTTGCCTTACCGAATTTGATCGGGACTTTTAAGATTTCCATTATTTCCCTAATGCTTCCTTCTCTCCCCCTCCTTCCTCGCTTTAAAATACAAGGAAAACCAGAGCTCTTGGTTTTCGCTGCTCTCTGGTGGTCACTTGTGCTACGTGCAGGAAGGAGTGGCTGGCGTCTCCTGAGTTGCCCAGCATCGAGCATTGTGAGTCTTCACTCGCTGGGCCTCGTCACTGCAACCAAGACTGGTTTCTTCTCGCTAAGCCTCAGAATAGCAGGTTGCAGAATGGCTGCCTACCACTGGGAAGCGCGCCGCAGGCAGATAATAATGGAGCACCGGCTGCGGCTAATGCAGGTGGTCGGAGTGGGAGAAAGTCCTGCGCAGATAAAGGGGCAGCTACTGCCGGGGTGAGGTGGCGGGGGTGGCCAAGAGGGATAGGTGGACGCGAGTAAAACGGAGGAGCCAAATAACCTGGTCATTGGAGACCATACCTGTTTTTAAACGTAGTGATCTTCAAACATCTGAAGTTTGTAGAATAAGTTCTGGAAGGTGCTAAGATAGGTGATGCATCGTAATACATTCCTTTAAAGCACAACAAATCTAAGCAGAGCACCTCCATGGAAATTGCCCTGTCTTAAGAGTTGGTACATGTGCTCCAGGCTTTTATTTTGTAATCCTCTGACTTCAAGAGATCCAAAAAAGAACAGCTTCCCTATCTTTTCCTATCATCTATGCTGCCATAAAATATTTATGGCAGCATATTTTAAATATTTAAAAAAGACAGAATATCTGCATAAACTATTTTGAGTGATGAGACTTGCTCACTAGCCCTTCCCCCCATCCCAGAGTATTGTGCTGAGTTGGTGTTTTCTAACTTCTACAAATGTTTAGTTTGACATTTGTAACCTCCTACAGATTCCTTCTGCCTCTATTGCTTTGTTTACTGTCACTGTCATTACTAAGATAGTGAGAAAGCCTGACCAATTTTATATACCTTAACATTACCCTAGTCAGAATAAGAAAGAAATATTTTAGTAACTGTACAGATGACTGAGGCAATGGATAAAACTAAGATAACATCCAACATCTTGGGAATATGGCAGAAAAAAGATGTTGCCTGGATACATTTGCCTCTTGGTTAGGTTAGGTATAAGTAGGGAAAGACTGTCTTCTGACTTAAACTAGTATTTGTCCCTGGTCACTTTGGTTTGGAAAGGCCCAGCCATGCCAGGGTGTTTAGTGACTTGTCTTGTTTCTAGGGATGTGACAAGTCTTCTCTGTCCAAAGCAAAATACATATGCTTTGCTGAAAGCAGATCAGGCAAATCTGTTCTTTTTTTTTTTTTTTTTGGCCTGGCATTTTTGGATGTGGGCTGGGAAAGCACCAGATGTTTTACTGGAAGGCAGAGGTGCTTAAAGAAAAGTCAGGTGCCAGGCACTAAAGAGAAATAACATAATCAGAAACCATATGGTAAACAAATGAGGCCCACAGAAAGAAAGAATAATGAAATACATGGGATGCAGAAAACTGAAAAGTTTCAGAAAAAATAGCAAATCATAGCAAATAGCAAAGTTTCAGAAAAAATAGCAAATCATTTTTTTAAATTAAAACCATCTATGAAAAAAATAAAGGAAAAAAAGAAATATATAAATAGAATTAACCAGCAACAGAACAATAGAGGTGAGGAATTGAGAACTGGAGGCTTCTAAGATATGGAAAGGATGGAGGGGCCAAAAGGCAGGCTAGGAAGGGTGTACCATTTCAATATCAAGCAACCCTATCAAAAGTGGGCAACTTTTAAAAAATGATTACCTATTACCTATATTTTGATTACCTATATTTGAATCTGAGCATGTTTTGAGTAGCATCATTAATCTGCAGGATTGATTGTATCTTCATAAATAGTTCTCATAGCCAACTTAAAATATCATTTAGCAGGAAGTCAATTGATGAGGTTACTAACTATAGTCTATCTCTCCACTCTCTCCACAATGCTCTCCACTGCTTTCCCATTTTCTGTGAGATGTTTTATTTACATCATTCCAGATTTTCATTTTTAAATTAAAGGAATCAGATAGGGCATTAAGCCTGGCAGATATGGGCATTATCTATTGAGAACAAAGGGGCCAAAAGGTTTTAAGACAGCAACTACAAATAGGCAATCAAAATTGCCATTCTAATATTTTTGACTAGCAACTTCCTGTGGGCAATTCCATCCTGAGCACCAGGAAAGATACTGTTAGATTTCATTATCTGAAGTTGAACAGACATTTGCTAAGAAATGCAATTTCTCAATTCTCATGCATGTGGGGTTTTTTGGGGGGTGGACATAGGAGAGCAGAATCTCAGAAGAAAGTCAGCAACAAGTTTCAAAGGAGAGCACCCAAAATTCCACCGTCTTTTTGTGCTCCAACATGACATCTCAGAATTTGCCACAAAAAGGTAAAGGGTTTAAAATATGTCATAGAAGGGGATTGTTTTGGAGATAAATACAAAAGAAAATGCTTACTTTTTCCCTAAGAAAATAATACCCAAGGAATTTAAAGTATATATTTTTTGAACTGCCATGGACTTGCAGGTATAATAGTTAACAACATCCATCATCATTGATGGTGTGCTTCTTTGGGATGATATGGGTTTGGTCCCACTCCATCTGGAGAATGTGGAAGGCTGGAATGGATTTTCAGTGTACAATAAAGGATAGGCAATTTTTTGGGGCTGGAGGTAGTTTTAGAATATTGACAACTTGTGATGGTGACATTCAAAATATAGTTATCCAACTATGGACTGTAGCATCCTGATGGGACTGAACAAGCTGCAGGATAAACATTTTTTTTTTTCAGCACAATATGCTAGTTTTAACAATTTAAGTCTCATTACCTATAATTATTAATCCACATTCTAGGAAAGTTTCACAAAGGATAGTCTTAGCGCCTATCTTTTTAGGAATTGACCTTAATAAAAGAAATGAGCTGAATTGTAGAGTAATAGTTACAAAAGTTAATGAGCATTGTCCAAAAATCTAGCAAATACTGGGGTAATGCTAAAGAACAGATCAAATTGCTATAGAATCTGTTCCACCAGTAAATACATTTTCAGTACTAGTGGAAAAACAAAATGATAATTTTTAGAACATGGTAAGAAGTTGATGGTAAGCTAAAAATCAGAAAGCTAGTTGGTTAATATTTGTACTTTTCATTTGTATGGCGCAGTATAGAAAATAACTGCTTTTGAAGTGTGTGAATTGCCCTCTAAGAGTTACTTCTCTAAGTTATAAGAGACTATTCAAAATTGTTATTTTGATAGTTCTTCAAGATCATAGTAAATGCATTCCGTACATAAAAGCTACTTTAGCTTCCAAAGAAACTGTGAATTGTTAGTAAATCTTCTCAACCACTTTTACTGAAGGCTTCTGCATAAAATTTTCAAAGGCAGATTAGTCAGCAGCCTTTTCTAAAACAAGGGGCCATATTACATGGTTTTACTATGTTATGAAGCAGTCACTCTGAGATTTAAACCAACAAGAATTATTAGGTATGTAGTGACACTTCTAAGCCTGAACACTGATGCATCACAGGAAAGGAAGAGTTTGATTAACTCAAATACCACAGCAAGATACCTGTACATCTGGTTTAAATAATATAGTGCTTCTGGATGTTGTGGATTCTAGCTCCTTCTGCTACAATCAGCAGCGCCAACAGCAAAATGTGTTAGAATTGTAATTTAAAACTTCTTAAAGAGATACCTTGCTGTACCTCTCTTCTCTAGTTAACCATTACAAAATAAACTCTCAAATATTGTTCTCCAGATGATCTGGACTAGCATTCCCAGAAACCCTAGACAAGTACACAATGGATTATAGAAGTCGTATTTCAAAATAATTGGAATTACAATTTTACCTATACCTTATATATTTTACATTAGTAACACAAAAATTAGAATTTTCATTCGAAATTATGAGATTGACTTAATAAATTTACTTCCCATCAGCGAAGTGAAAAGATTCAGTTCACTGAGATCAGTTAGCTAAACATAACTAATATTTGGTTGAGTTCACACAATACAGCAATAATCAATACATTAGAGGACCACATTGTAACTTATGTTTAGTGAATCCAGTAAGAGGTCATGTAATGGAATATAGTATGCTGTACAAGACCAGGAAATTTAGTTAATTTGATAAAACTATAGATAAGCATGCCATGTGAAAAGGTTTACCAAGTACATCACACATCATTTTCAAAAAGAGAACTTTATTTCTTGGATATTGAAAGATGACGCTGATCCACTATGGACTGATTTGTTGTTGTGCCTTCAAGTCAGTCTTCATTCTTGGCAACTGCTTTAACAAGTCCATGCAGTTTTCTTGGCAACATTTTTGAAAATGGCTTGTCTCCTCGCTAAGACTGAGAGGAAGTGACTAGTCCAAGGTCACCAGCTCTCTTCATGCCTAAGGCAAGACTAGAAATCACAATTTCTTAGTTTCTATACCTTAACCATTACACCAAACTGGTTCTGATAGATATGTTCTAATAGTTTGTGCTGACCTTACAACAGATGTGCAAGGAAACTTCGTAACATCACCATGCAACAATAGGTAAAGTAAAAAAAAATGACAAAAGTTCCATAGGATAGTTGTGCTTAGATTGACTAGATTTTCTTTTCTCAGAGAGATGCTACAATTGCACTCTCTGGGCTTCATATAATCTTACCCCACTCTCACCTCCACCTCTGATTATCGTTACTATATTTTCAATGCGGTCACTTACATATGAAGAGTAATCGTAGAATGATCTATGACACTGCACCCTCTGAATAAATTCACTCCTTATTTGCAGAGATCATTCAGGATCGTTGCCTGTGCAATACAGAGCATGTTCCAAGTCAAAGTGGTAAACTGCTCAAAAGATACACGGTAAGATGACAAAGATAAAGGATGTTTTTTTTTTTTCCCCTGTATGGAAAATCTGCTGCTGGAGATCGACTTATCCCCAGAGCTCACACGGGACTCATTCCAATCTAGTTCAGGAATGTTTTTTTTTTTAAAGTGCTATTGGACAACTTAGATATTCAGCTTTATCACTCTTTACTTCCCAAATAAAGGGAACATGGCTGCTTCCCTGTTGTCCATCTACTTTGGGATTTTTTTTTCTAGAATAGTGCCCACAACCTTTCTGACCCATTTCATAGCAGAACCTTAGCTGAGTTTTAAATGCACCTTGAAGCGTTGAGAAATCAAGGTAATGGGAATAAAGGCATATTCTTGCCAAGGTCCATTCGACAACACAAATAGCAATAGCTATAGCAACAGCAATAGGATTTAAGACTTATATATTGCTCCATAGTGCTTTACAGCACTCTCTGGGCAGTTTACAATGTCAACATATTGCCAACAATCTGGGTCCTCATTTTACCAACCTCAGAAGGATGGAAGGCTTGAGACCTGTCAGGATTGAACTTCAGTCTGTGGGGAATATTGCATTCTAACCACTGCGCCACCAGATAGTTGGTGCTGTAGATCTCAATGGATTTTTCTGGGTTGAAACTTTAGGTAGGATATTAATGGAACTAGTTGTGAACCACTGTTCTCCTTTATCTACTCTGTTCTTCTCTGTAAGGCTTCTGGCATTTTCTGGGTCTTGATTCTTTGTGATTCTATGGCCCATCACCTCTCTCTCCTCTGACTGGCATGCCTTTTCCATCTTCAGATTTTTTTCTTCCAACATATTCCAACTATAATGTATGGCTTTGGGTTTGATGGGGTGGGTGTTGGATTAGGGATTAATGGGTTGCATTTTCTCTTCTAGTCTTTAGACTACATACAACAGTGGTAACAATACGGCTGAAAACGGCATGGAGAAATGTTGTTCTGTAACTGTGCTGCAGGACACAATGCCACATGTCTGAGCTGAAAACTCTGCCAGAGTATACAGTGAAGTTTACTTCTGGGAACTCTTCTGAAAGTGTAATAAAAATTCTCTGGAGTCACAGACCCACAGTGCCTGCCTTTGTGTGAAACTTTTTCTCCCTGAAACTTCCAACTACAACCCAAACTTGCCTGTTATCTCCTTCGTTTTGAGGAACAGGTTTGAAAAAGATTGGGAAAGAATCTGGTAGGACAGATTTAAGTTGTCATGCTAGGCCCTTTAGCACTGGCTGAGGCATTGCTAGTCTGTAATTGCCCATGAAACTAAAACAGAAGTTTCAAAACAGAAATTAAAAACAGAAGCAGGCTGTGTTATCTAGAAAAAAAAAATCTTCTCTATTTCTAGATTTTCACCAAGAAATATGTCCAGTTGAACATTTTGTAATGGTTTATTTTTGGAAATTTTCTTCTGCTCACTTTATTGCTTCTGATTGACTGAGGCTGTAGGGTTGGTGCTTAATACTTAAAAAAAAGTATTAAGCACCCATCTCACAGTCCTGGTCAATAATTGTTAATCTGCCCATAGTCAATTCCAGTTTCAGAGAAGCTAAAAGGAAAGAGTCTAAATATACATTGTCTTATTTTGTTCCATGATTATTTGTAGCAAAATAGTTTTATTCAGAAAAATAATGAAGAGGAAATCTGATCCTCTCCATCCTGAACAAGAAAATAAATAACTATGGGTCTCTAGTCTATTAACTATAATAAAAAGAATAAGAAGTGCAGCCAGGAAAAATTCATTAGATCCCAATAAAACACTTATTTTCCAAACTACCTGATATTTACTCTACATTGCAGCACTAAGTAGTCTGAAAATCAAATGAAGCCAAACTTGAAAGAATTTTGGAGGTATTGTACAAATATCTTTTTAAAAAGATGGCTACGTAACTACCTTTTCCAGTGACCAAAGTATTAGTTTTTCTTATCAACCTGTCTTTCCTACCATATATTATTATTAGGCAACATTGCATATTTGCTTCAAACCTACTTAAATTTAAAGGCCAGCAATTCTATCAATGCATAATCATTTTTTACAGATTATTTTTTTGTATCTGAACTGTCATACTGGTCCAAGAGAAAATGTTTTCAGGATTTTATTCCCCTCTTAGCTCCAAAAATGATGAGCCTTTTAATATTTTCTTTCCTTTTTTTGTATTTTATGCTTTTAAAAAATTAATAATGTTCACAAAAAAAAAAAAAAATAAAATTATAGTAGAAATAGATTTAGAAAAGCAAATTGTACAGAGCCATAATTTTGGCTTCAGGAGCCTTTTTTTCTTCCTACAATTTATAAAAGAGATTAACTAATGAACAGAGAAAAATCTAGTGGGAGAAAAGGCACAACCTTAATTCAGTGGTGTCTCCTTCAAAAAGTTCAAAATTTTCTCCTGCTATATGAATATAGGAGAAAATAGTTCTGGGAAAAGGAGAATGCTCCCAGCTTTCCAATAAAGTCTACAATGGCAAGTTTCATTGTGTTTAGAGATCCCAGCTCCAAGCAATAACCTCCAAAATAAATGATATCAGTACAAATTCAACAGCCACTTGGTGATCCATGCAGCCTAAGTCCACTCAAATTCCAATATGAGGTATAACTCTCTTATGTTAGCATGTTCTCCTTGCATTCCGGTCTGCTGTTCTTTTAAAATGAAGCTAATCCATCAGCATCATTACATGCTATCTTAAAAGGAATGTGGTACCAGATCTATCTTCCTGTTTTGTAGAACTGGCAATAAAGAATCAAAGTTTCAGTTTCTTCCCACAAATCCCCAGAAGCTTCATGCTACTGCAATTTCACTGAAGGGGACTGAACACATAGCCAAAAGAAGTTCCTCCAGGGCTCTACTGTAGCCATGAGAGACTTTAGAATAAAGACAGTAGGACACCATCTCTGCAATCCACATACTGATACTTTTCAAAGGAGAGTTGCTCTGAATGAGAGAGATAGGAACAAGTCAGGGTACCTCTGTGGGAGAGAAAAATAAGAATTCAGTAATAATAAAATGTTTACAAATATGATATCTCCTTGTTATCTCTACCAATAAATTATATCCCAGGCTTTATTCTCAATGGTATATTTTGGGATAGATAAGGGACAGACAGAGAATGTAAAATTAACAACAGATCTGGAAGCTTATTAGTTATTACTGAGAGAACCAGTGTAATATAATTCCTAGGAACACAATAGAAACTACATTAATTACATTGATTAGTGATAGGATGAAATGATCAAACAAGAGGAGTGAAACAGCTCTCTAAATTAGAGAAGATTCTCTTGATTAAAAGTATGGTCCTCATTTGAGCAGAATGACATATTTGGCCTACAGACTAAACCAACCATCCAACCATCACGATTTTACGTTAGAAGATGCAAATACTGGACCAGGAGTTAGCTATCATAAAGGGAAAACAAAACAGTTTTAGAAAAGAGAATCAGACTTACTGTATATGCAGAAGAACATTGTGAACTTTTATTTTGATCCATGTGCAAATTTTGCTGAAATAATGAAGGGGAATTTCACTGTTTTTATATGGCACATGCAAAATCACATCTTAAGTATAATTCATTTTGTATTTTAGTATTCTTTTATGGTGTGTATTGAATTGGACTAATTTCTCCAGATTTTACAAATAAAATGGGTATATTCCATATTAATGGAAAGTTTTGATCTATGGCACAGACATATTTTGCACCCAGAAATTTGTATATTCAAGTCCTTGAAATCCATAAATGAAAGTATGTTGGGAAAATAACCAGAAAAATCACTGAGGGTTGATCTGCTCAATCAGGCTGCCTTGAGGCAAGAATAGGCCATTAATATCTCTTAAGGGCAGGCATGCATATCATTCTCAACAAAGCCTCAGCCACTATTTCATCCTGGGTTGCTGGACTATAGAATGGTGAAAGGCTGAACTTTTTAGTCTGTGTAAGTTCTCCAGTGAAAATGTGAAAGGCTAGGCATTTTTAAACAATTCACAGATGGATTGGTTAAAGATGGACCTTTTTTTTTTTAACCAAGTGAACTTGATTAGAGTTTGCTAGTTTCCCCTTATATCCAAGGGGCAGAAATAAATATGAATTGGTGAAGCTTGCTTTAGTTTTTACAAGCTTTTGGATGACATACTGAAATGGTGTTCTCTTATCATTTATCCTTTAATCGGGTGAAATGGACAAGTTTTTTCTTTTCCTTTTAATTCAAGTATTAAGAATAACGATAAAACCATGTTTGCTTCTTTACTTGACCCATGAAGACATCAGATGGGAAACTATCAAGTACTGTACAAGAGTTGAAGTGAAATATATCAGTGTATCAATGGAATCAATATATCCTTAAAGATGCACCAAGGGGGGGACGTGCTTGCTTTTCTAGCAATAGGGACAAGAAACAAAGCGAGGTAATCCCCCAATAGGGACCAATGCTTCAGTAAGAAAATATAAATCCATCAAAGAGGAACAAAGAGGAAGGGATTAAAATGTGAAAAGGTTTTTTTATATGATGGCATAATTTCCAGCCAAGTTATACATAGATGTCAAGTATTTTAATGCTGCCATGGTGGGAGTAAGGAGGAAAACAATTCTAGATTCTGGAGAACTGCAGGTGTATCCATGTAAAATCTTAACAGTTGATTTTGTTGCAACTAAGGATTATTATTTTCTTGACTAAGCATGGAATTGGCATTATGTCAGAATGTTATAAAAGCAATTTTTAGCCAAATTAAATAATATTTTTTAAATCTTCAACTTTACAATACTGTTGGATTTCAAGTTCATCTGAAATGCTTTTGACTATGTTAAATTACTGCAGTGGGGATAATCAATTCTGTATTGCCAAAATTCATCAGGGAAAAATAGCATTATGGACGATATTCTAGAATTAGAATTTCTTTTTAAATCTAAAAAAGAAAAAGAATCCTTCCTTCAAATATTTTTAAAAGCTTCTCTATTAATTCTGTAACATATAAATCTATCAACTCATTGATTAAAAGACAGATATATAATTGTCAAAACAAGTAAAAGTTCAGTTTTGACAACATTATTTTAAAATGAATCAGCTGAATGCAGGATCATTTCTTAGAGATATACTTACTAAGTGTTGGTATCCATGATTGTACTAGAGACACTATAAAGGATCTAAAATATATCAAAAAGAGAAAGTTACTGCAAAGTATATTCATGTTTGTGTTCTGCAGAGAAATTAGTAAATTCCTTCAAGTCTCACCTGGGCACTCTGCAAAGGCCTAATATCCAACTGAGTCATCACTGTTTTTTTCCCAATCACCACTGTTTTATGCAAGACTTCAATATCAAGCTGAGCCACATACACAGGATAAAAATTGCTGTTTGTCACATTTAATATATTCTAAAGAGAAAGAGGATAGGTGATGAGAAAAAAGTCGTAAATTGGTACACATTGTTCTCATTCATAAAAGGATCCTCCTGAACTTTTCACCTTAAGAGGGTCTTATTCGGCCTCTGCTGCTACTACTTTTTAAAATATAATACAAAACATGAAACATTGTATGGTTTCCAGGTTTGTGCAAAGTTTCAGTTTTAATTCAAAAGTGCACAGGTGCTTAAACACAGTCCATATCTGCAATTGTCTTCCCAAGATCATGCAAGTACTTTTTTGAAATCAAATCTGAAGTGCTGTGCAGCCCGTGGTTCATATCTTAAACAGTAAAGCATATCTATAATAAATAGCCATTTACTTTTATGGGGATGAATGGTTGAATGCAAAAGGAAAGAAGACCATGATTGTGTGACAGTGATCTGGACAAGTAGCAAGTTGGCCCAGGATATAGGTTTTTCTATGACTCACTGTATATTGCTCTTTAATTTGGCTCAATCTATCTTTTTAAGAGCCACAGGAGCCAGTTCTACTAGCATTCAAGAATCTATTCAGAACATGGAATTGACATGTTTTTATATTTGGTGCATGCAGGACAACTGCTAAGAATTATTGTGACACTTCCAAGCTGTGGATCGTGGCAGATGCTTTTGCATTCCCTGCTTCTTTTAGGTACAGAACAACACTAACCAAGCTAAATAAAGAACATCTTCTTTTTGACCAATTTCATTTTATCCATGAGATGAAGGCTTATAGAAGATTAGCTGCTTTGTCCTTTCCATGTTCTTTAGCACATTCATTTGCAATCAGCATTTCTACACATGAAATAATATTGTGCTTATTTATTGGTAGCATAATGCTGTTTTGAAAGTTTGTCTGCAAAATGCATTTTTTATGTTTGGGTGTGGTATACTGCTGAGTTTCTGTACAAGTTGTGCTGATGATATGACTGTGCAGAGGTTATGGCACTGAGAGAGGGAGGGAGGAAAGAAAGCTTTATGGGAACTGCAATTTCATCTTTGCACACTTGCTCTGGTATTATTTTAGATAACTAAACAATATACCGGTACCTCATTATGAAGTTATTATGCTGCATCAAAGAACAGCAACCACTGATCTTCATAGTCTCTCTCTCTCTCTCTTTCTCTCCCCCCTTGTCCCCCTCCCTCCCTTTCTCTGTCATATATGCAGTGCTCTCTTTCCTTCTGATTTAAGGAATGTATTGTGGTTGCTAAAAAAGGAGAGTACGGTATATATTACATGCTTACTGCACAACTTAACCTATTAATAAGAATATAATGTTGATAATTGAAAATACTCAATAAGATTGGTCTTCCAATATAATAGATGATATGTACTATATTTTATTCCATATATAAAAATAATTAAGTTCAATGTCTTTCTTCTTCTCCAAAAGAAAAATATGAATTTAATGAATGGATTTTTTTTTCTTTCCTAAAAGATATATTCAGATTCTGGTATTTTCATCAGGTACAGGCAATTTAAAGCTCTTCAGATGTTTTAGGCTACAGTTTTCTATACCTAATCAACAGGTCATGCTAACTTGGGATGATGGGTGCCATAGTCTGCAATGTCTGAAGAGCATCATCTTGGCTGCAAGAATTAAATTATAATTTTCTTTGGATGAATACATTTCTTTGCATTCTGGCACATTATTTTAGACTCCATTATATGGAGTACTCAAAATATTTACTTTTTAGAAAAATATTGTTGTTCAAGGCTGAAAAAATAAATTGCATTATTGCTTGCTAATGCTGAGGGTTTTTTTCTTTCCTATGTTTTGATTGCAGGACAAATTCTGAGCAAATGTTTAGATTTTCCTTTTGTCAGAAGGTTTGTTAGCCATGATCTAAGAGTTCAACAAATACTGAAGTCCTTGTTCATGCCTTAGCCCTTCTGAGTAGGAAACAAATTCTTGATGTATTATTAACCATGTATTTATTTTATTGTGCCTTGCAAAATATCTTCTGGAATGTACTATCAAGAGCCACACAAATCCCTTAAAAAAATTGTGTCACAGTATCTGAGTTTTTTTCCTTATGTATAATCCTTTTCTTCGATCATATATGCTGAATTCAGACATTGCACTAGGTCATTTATTTCATTTTAGTTTAAAAATCTTCTCCTTAAAAAACAAGCTATATTAAGCCATAATATATTGAAGATAAAACATTATAAAATAAGCATTTAAAAAAAGAGACCATGTGGCCAGACACAAGATTTTTGGAACTTGCACTGTGATACATAATGTTTCTTCTCTTTGAAGAAGAATCTATCTATTCACAGGTTTCAAGTTTTGATTAAAAAGAAACTGAACCATGCTCACACAGAAAACCTAATGAAGTACTTGCTCTGGGTTAAAAGAAATAGGGACTGACTAAATTCCTTTTAATCTCATTTAGTCATCTATTCTTTTGTTTTAAAGAACTAAGATTTAATTTGGGGGCAAAGTTTATCCCAACAACTATTCTACCCACCAATATTCACTCTTAATATATTCTTCTGACAAAAATTATCTCTAAGCTTTCCCTGAAAAATGAGAAACTACATGTTATAGAAACTGGACAAAAGAGAGGCTTCCAGATCAAAATTGACACATTTTTCAGTTTGTGGCCCTGCAATATTCTCTCCCTGCTTCTTAAAGCCACCACACAAATTATATTCAATTTCAGATGAATTTTTAAAAAATCCATAAAATGAATCTGGTCCATGTCTCTCCCCAACTCACTCTTCTTTCAATCTGTTCCTTGAACTTACAGTCATATTCAGGATGATGCTGGAAGTAGAATTGTCAAAAGAGATGGTGGAGGCATTGAGACCTGAGGGGAGCACAGCAACTGAACGTGGGAACAGGAAGTACATCATGAGACAAGTTGTCAGCAGGGAAATGGCTACTGTGAGAAATACATACAGCTTCCTGCCAAAACAGATCACAGGCAGTTAGTGATAGCAGAATTTCCTCCCACCTCAACATACACAGCAATCACTGATAGCAGTGTCTAACAAATGGGGATAACTCCACTATGAAGAGGCAGAAGAAAAAATGAGGAAAAATTTGTTCAGCAGAAAAAGATGTGCTTACGTCCGTCTAGGCTTCAGCCGCTGGTCTCCATATGGAATGAGAGCCACTAGCTGTTGCTCCTGCTCTAGAAGGAAGACAGCAGAAGAGAGAGAAAATTAGGAAAAAACTGCCAGAATCTGTCAATTTAATAAAAGCCTCCTCACATGCAAAGCATGATATACGTACGGGTCTGGCTACTTTCACTGCAAAGAAGCTACATGAGAACTGCCTGTCTGTCTGCAGCAATCTTAATCAGACCAAAGCAGCTTTATAGACCAGTTTTATTAAGCCCAGTTAATGCATCCCTTGGTTAAACAATATAGAAAACAGACATAATTAGACATCAATCAACAAGGCCAGATCACCTCTGCAAAACAAGTCTTGAAAATATACCTACCTCGGGGGATTCTTCCAGTGCCTTGGCAAGTAGGACAAGTGACAAAAGCTCGACTGGTGTGGTTACCACAAGGAACACAAGACACCTCAGAAGCATCTGCTCTATTAATGCTGGCATAACAGGATGCTTCATTCTCAGCATATGAATTTTTCTGCATAATCGATTTGCTTTCTTCTGCCTCCTTTGTAGTAAACAGGTTCTTGAACCACAAGAGGGCTTGATCCATTGTACATAAACACTGTGGCTCTGGTGCAAACAAGCAGCATTAACAAATCAGAGCAGAAAAAGGACTTTTGATTCTATAAAGCAGCACTTCATTCCTGAGTTTAGGACAGACAGTCTTGAAAAGCATATTTAAAATCAGTGATTTCGCCAGTAATATCTTTCCCTTCTAAAGCTTCCCCCACATCCCAGGAATTTATCGCATCCAACTATGTGATGCTGAATTGTGATAATGCTACTGCTTTATGGTCTTAAGCTCAGTTAACTGTGGAATTTTGTTAATACATAAACTACCGTACATCCAGCCTGAGTTTATCAATCTGTGGAATAGTAAAATTGATGTAATTAGGTCATCTAATTCAGTCCTGTCAGTGGCACACAGATGTTTTAAGTTCAAATAAATAATTGTTAGAACAGCAGAAACACTTTGAAAAATGAAGAACTGTTATTAAATATATCATAGTTTTTCATGTAATTTATTAAATAGATTTATATCTTGTATTTTTATACAGGGGCTCAAGATGGTAAATATAGTATTCCGTCCTCCTATTTTTTCCCCACAACATCAACTCTGTGAGATAGGTTATACTGAAGGAAAGTGACTAACCCAAAATTATCCAGTGGTTTTCTGGGTTGAGGGTTGATTGTATTGATGAGAACTAGCAATAACTTAAAAAGAAATGAAGGAACACTTGAATCATCTTGACCTTTTTAAAAGTGAGTATTCATCTCCAGTCTTAAGACTAGTCTCAGATTTGCTATACATTAATGGGAGAAAAGAAATCCAATTTGGCATAGTGGTTAAGGCATTGGCCTGGAAATCAGGAGACCATGAATTCTAGTCCTGCATTAAACATAAAACCAGCTAGGTGACCTTGGGAAGTTACACACTCTCAGCCCTAGGAAAAAGGGAATCGCAAATCACTTCCCAAGTCTTGTTAAGAAAGCTGCAGTTATCAGAAGTCAACATGGACTTGAAGATGCCCACACACAGAGATACAAAGTTGAGGAGAGGGGGAGAAAACACCTGAGTTTTCCAGAAAAGGTTCTTTTATCATTATGCTTTTAAAAAAATATTGCTAGATCACATAGATCATGATCTAAGTATTATTATTTTATAGATTCTACTTCTTTCAATAGTTAGAAGGCCGGGGATCCATTTTTTTTGGAAAAAAATTTCTTGGATGGAACTTTAAGTGACATTTATCTGATAAAAGAGAAAGACAGATTTCAGAATTACTCCCAAAGATTCCAGTTGGGCTATCCATCAGGAGTGCTAGGACAGTTTGTAGCATTTGCTAAGGATAAAGATCCCAGCCATTGTCAGATACTCAAATTTGCTCTATGAAGATTGGTTCCTTAATTACACCACACTTTGCAGAAGCAAAATTGATAAGAGAATGGGAAAATGAAGAAAAGGGATGTTGCAATGCACATAATACTGTAAAAAATTTCCCCAAATTTTTATCAAAAATTCTTCTGAATGGGATAACATTTTAACTCTTCTGCCTGAATTCAAAAAAATGGGAAACTGGTTTTATAGCAGAAGGAAACTTGCTAAGCATGGCTCCAACAAATTCTTCTAACTCAAACATGTTGGCAAAAATTGAATAACACAAATAAATACAAATTATTTCAAAAGGATTCTTTTCTGAATCTATCCCACTTTGCAAAAACAATCCCTTTCAATTAATTTTTTTCCAAAGTTCATTTATATACAAAATTATATATTAACTATTTAATTATGTTGTAATGAATTGCATTGTACTGTGCCTGGCAATCTTTCTGGAAAAATGATTGATTCCTAGGATAAAGTTAACATTCAAGGAAAAGAATTTTCTTCTATTTAAGAGGGCTCTCATTTTGAAGTGTCAGTTTCTTTGCAACTTTAGATAGAATTTAGTCTGACTGTTTGTAACCTAATGAACTACCTTAAATTATGTTCCATTTCTGCTGATACAAAAACTATAATTTTTCTAAATTATACTTTCTGCCAGGTCGGAAGCTTGTGGACTTCACTCATGTCACAAAACACACTGAAAACTAATTATTTCAGAGGAAACATTTATTTTGTTCCTGAATGCTAATTGTAACCTTACACTAATACTGCCATCATCTACTGAATTCAGCCCATTTCTTTTGTGAAATTAATTTTTAATTACTTCATGACAAGCATCTGACTTAATTTCTGGACTTTTCATTTTTGTATTATCCCTTTGACAAAGAATTGATTGATTAATTTGAAAATTGTACTCTATTTTATGCTTTTTAGTTGATCCTAAATTTATAAGTTGCCCATCTTCAAGGTTTTGTTTGTTTATTTAAAAGTTTTTCATGGCCTTCCATCTTAAACACAACTGTGAGCAGCTCACAACAATAAAAAAATTAGCTAAGTAGATAATTTGAGATAAGTAGCTAAGTAGATAGATAATTTGAATTTCTCCTCCATATTTTATGAAACACAGTAAATAATTGATTCTGTTTTATCATTTGTAACTGTCTATACTTGAAACAACTCAGTTTATATTCAAAATAAAACAACTATTACCGGTATATATAATGCAAACACAGCTCACATTTTTTCCCAAGATTGTTTAGAAATTCAGACTGCATATCTAATTAAGTGCTCTACTATACAACATTGTTTGTATCAGCTTCACTCACTTTATCTTTAACATATATAATAACTTAAAATATATATGATAACATATATGGTAACTTCAAAATATTAACCGTCAATAATACTGTGAAAAGTTTCTATCAAATTGCTGAAGAAAGGCCAGAAGGGAGTCAGCTAACAAATGTGCCTGCCAATGAGATAGAAAAAAAAAACAAGGAACCAAGCTGGTTTTATACAACTTACTTACTTAACTGCTGTTAAAGATTTTTCCATTAAGCCAATGTTTAGGTTTTGCACAACAGATCTAATTATAAATTGTGAGAATTATGTATGCACAGCATCCTAGGCTTCATTAGTTGCATAGTGTATGCTTTAATATGAGTTCTTGTTCATATTTGAGAAATGTAATTACAAACAGTAGCTAACAGATTGCCTTCTTGGAGCTAACTTTTTATTCCACTATTCAATCTGAATAGTACAAATTAATGAATTTGCTTCACAAGAAATATCAGCACTCCCTCATTGGTTGCTTCTAAGCAAATAGGAAATTCACCAAAGTTCTCGTTTGCCCAGCAGGGCCTTTTTCTGGTTAGCATAATGGTGTTAAAATATCAAAACTCTTTGCTGCAAAACAACGTATATTAAAAATTACTCATCTAAAAGAAGTGGGGAAAGAAGTCAGAAAGAAATAAGATGATTTTGAATCCTCATAATGGCCCAACAAGAAATTGAAGGAAGGAAGGATAGTTTTTTAAAAAAGGAGAAAACAAAAACGAAAGCAAAGAATGGAAGATAAATCGGTGAGCGGGGAGGAGAAAACAGTGCAGTATGAAGAGCCAGGAGAGTATGAGGGTCGTATGTGGATCGTTAGAAAGGTTTCTTAAGAACGGAAGGAGGGCATCTGCTCACCGTATCCCACCAAGGCCAGAGACAGGCGCCTAAATCGTTGGGACTCCTCAGCCAATCACAGATATGAAACAGAAAATAAACAATATATAATGGTGCCAGTCTTCGTCCCTTCACCCGACTCCCACCCTCTTGCAAGAGGTGGGAAATAAGCAGTTCCACCCTCAGTCGCCACTTCCCTTCTTTTTCAGCCGTTCTATTAAGATACATTGTTCACCCTGAGACGCAGCAAAGATTTAGATTCGCACTTTTTTCCCCCGGGAATGGGAGGTGCCAAAATTAAACAGTGACTGAAAAAACGAACCTTGTGACTTACAATGTGATTCTTTGCGCTTGTTTATTCGACATTGGAAGTGCTCTTGGAAATATTCCAAAGTATCGTTGAGGATTGGAGCCTTGCAACAGATCAATCCGTTTCAAAACTGCATAGAGCTGAAGCCCACTAAAACGGCACCACTTCCTCCCAAAGAAGAGCTCCTAAACTCGTAGCTTTACTAACCTAATCCTTCCCACACGCTGCAAGCCCATGCCAAAATCGGTGCAGGCGCGACGTAAGCGAGTCATGTTAAATAAAAGGAGTGGCTTGAACATCTACCTTCCACTTTTCACATTAGTTTGGTCCTTGGAAGGGTGTGAAAGGAAGTAGTTGTGTAATTTTGACACTCCACTGAATAGTGGTTGTGGTTCCTATTTGTTAGCATTTCGCTCCATATTTTAAGAGGCGCTTATGAAGTGTGCCTGAGCTCGCTTTGCTTTCTCTGCTGTTCGAGACGCTGGTTCACTTTCACTTTAAATTCAGAATGTAAATCCGATCTCAATTTTATGTGGTTTTTCAGTACATTTGGTAAACTTCCTCGTTTCAGTATCTATTACGATTGTTCTAATCACTGCGCGATTGCAGATTTTTTAAAGCGAAGTTGGAAGTTAGATAGATGTAGCTGGAATTTCTCTTGTAACCTACTTTGTATTCAGCCGTTGGCCTCAGGCAGGGTAAAACGGCAGTGGTTATCTCCTCAAAACCATTAACTTACAATGTTTTCGGGTCCGAAATGTGCCAGAATAACTTGACCCACCTTGGGCACACCAAAAGTTATGAATATAAACCCACATGTTAAGGTCTCAAAATAATCCTATGGATGTTTCCAGCAACATTAGTTTAAAATGGTGATCACATTAGAGTCCCCATTTGGTTCCAGACTTTTGGTCACTTCACATGACCATGGGACACTGTGACCATCAAAAATATGAATCAGTTGCCAAGCATCTGAATATAAATCACAAAACCTGGAGATGCTGCAACATTTCAGCTGATCGGCACTTCTTCTGGGCTCAGCAGAAGCACCAGGATCAGTGCTGCTTTCCAGCTGATTGGTGCTTCTTCAGTGCTCCAGTTGGAGCCTGGCGCTGAGCCTGGCACTTCCACTGAGCCCTGACAGCCCCGAAGCACCGATCAGCTGGAAAGCGGCACTGATCCTGGTGCTTCCACTGAGCCAGCAGCCCTGCAGCAGCCCTGCAGCTCCAGCCGTCTCTCGCTCAGGCTTGTGCGGTGCTGCCACCAGTTCAGCTCATTCCCCTCCCCTGCTACCACTTTTCTAGGATGGTCGCGTACCACCTGCTAGGTGCCAAGGTTCACACAGAAAGTCTTGCATTTTACTTTCCTAGAGTTGGACTGAAGGCAGTGGCTCTGAGAAGATGAGGATTAGTCAGATGTCAAGAAGTTCACCTTGATGGCAGTCTGTCAAAATTATCTTTTATTGGTGAATCCCTGGAAGGAGAATCTTGCCAATGAGATTTTAAATTATCCCTCCTCATAATTTTTAACAGATCCTTTAAAGAATACTTAATCTCAGGGAAACCTTTCTTTATCTGACCTGGAATTAAGTTCCAGAAGTTATATGGTAGTGTATTATCAGTTCCTAAATAAGATTACTGGCATTTTTATGCCATGTTTCTGAATTTATACGAATATTTGTTTTAAAGATTAGTTGATAAACTGGATGAAACTTTTGAGCTGGCAAAGAAATTATACTTGAGAAATCCTTATTTTCTTTGTATAAAAGAAGCCCCTGCTTTTAAAATAAAACATACATGTTCCAACTCCCCCCCTTTTGAATGTGACAGTTTGACTTCTTTCTAAAATACCTACTCTGCAGCCCACAATTTTGTAACACTTAGTATTTCACTATTTGCACAACAGTTAACAAAATGTCATACATATGACAATAGGTAATTAATGTCAGCATCTATAAAGAGCAAGAGAAATGTCTTTCACATGCTCAGGAAATCTTTGGACCTACACAACTGGTACAAAGAATAATAAATATGCCTCACTGTATGTATAAGTGTTGTCATTCCAGCATGACAATGTATTTTATATGGAAACACTTTTGCTTTTACTAGATGTTTCTTTGGCAATTTATGACTTTACCCATTATTTTAAAGATCAAAGAACACATTTTCAAAAAGGAAAACCTAATATTGTGCATTTTTAATATTTATTTTTATCTCAAAGACCATGGTGCTTAATCTAAGCAATAAGCAATATCTTAATATCAGTATTGTTTAAATTATCAATCATGCAACTTCTCATACAACATACAAAGCCAATAGAAGAAATTTCACCTTTTATGAAACTTAAGAAAACACTCTTCATTAGAGCTAACAAGAAGTTAGTTGATTGAAATAGTAATTCAAAGTAAATTTAAAAAAAATGAAGATCTAATCATTTAAAGGTTTTCCCCATCAGTCCAAATACAAGTTGCAGATCTAATTTCTTCCATTCAGAGATATTCAGTTTGCATACATATTTTATTAAATAAGCAATACATAGCACAAGCAGTTTGTCCTCAGCTTCTCAATCTGCCTCTTTGTTAGGAAACTTTTCTCATGTTCCTCATTTCAATCCCTTGCAATCATTAACTGTTTCCTACAAAATCACAGAAAAACTGTACTTGTGTACATCCCATTACTGTTGGCATGCTTTGTGAACAGACATTCCTTTCATCCTATATGAAAAAAAATCAAAGAAACACCTGAGAGTCAAATCAAAAATTATAAACCCTTTAGAAATGTATCAAAGCCTTACAGTACTTTTTTCAGGAGAATATGGACAGAAATTCCCCAAAGATTCTTGAATCCTTTGTCTTGATTAATGGAGACATAGGAAGTTGTTTTCCTTAAATATCACTCATCCATATTTTTGTCTTTTTTCTTTTATATATTAAGTAAAACTTTCTATCAGGTATTAGTAATATAGTTAAGCTGAAGAGTTGTTAAAATATTGCTTTTTTAAGGACTTCAATCTGATCTAACACCTGGGTAGAGAAGATCAGGAATACTGCTTGTGAGAGCAGTATTTACTCCTGTGAAACACTGCTGGCTGATAAAAGTCTACAAAAATAATTTTTTAAACACTCAAATGTGTCTTGATCATCTACCCTTCAAGTAGCTTGAGCAGTTACTATCAATAATTTTTTTCCTAAAGAATTATGTAGTACAAACAGCTACACTTTTAGTATTTTTATTCAAATAACCAATTCAGTTCTGCTTCTAACAAGGAAATAACCAGAAAAGTGGAATTGTGGGGTTTTGATGGAATCTTTCTAATGAGGACAAAGTTTTCAGATAATGACAGTGTCCTGCAAGAAACATAACATTAAATGTGGGATAAAAGTATTGCTTAACCAGAAGAGAAGTAAAGTAAATTGGAGAACAAATAGCCTACTTTGGCTGCTAAGGTCAAGTCCATTTATATTTCTGGAACATAATCACTTCTTTTCTATCTATAATCTGGCATTCACCAGTTTGGGAAAAAATAAATAAATAAAAGGTACTCTAATCTCTAATAGAGATGGTAGGAATTATAATATGCTGAAAAATAAAAGTGAAGCCATCTTGGCTCTGCTTAGGACAGAAGGGAGCTAGAAGCTGCTGGTGCCAGTTGCTGTTAAAGTTTTTTTTAATGTACAAGCGAAAAAAGTTCAGTATGGACTCTCATACCAATCACCCTGATTCAGCTGCAGCAGCTCAGTGACAACAAGATTCACGTCACACTTATATTTCTGCAATAGATGGAGATTAAGGTGTCTGTCACAGAAGCCCATTTCATGTAGGTGGGCCAGAAATGAAGCCATATGATTTTCACTGGTTACAGAAAGAGCCTGGAAAGGTGAAAAATACAGAAATATCAATATAAAGAGGAAACAAACACATAAATGTAAAGCTCCATATAACAAACATTTATGTACACTTCAGATACTCTAAGAATTCTCCAACTGCAGTCATTCCAGTAAAATTTAAATTGGAATAATTTCTACAATACTCAATATTCTTTTCCTTTCTGTAATAATGTACAATATCACCCAGTTCTCAAGCTTATCTTTGCATTCACAAAAACTAGCAACCTGCTGAATCTTTATATATAAGATTAATTATGAAACTGCAAAATGTATACATTCCTGCTCCTTGCTGTTGCCATTATTAGTGCATGATTTATATTTATTTTTAAAATGTATAAGGCCAGACAATTTAAGCAATGTGACTTGGTAGCATGCAGCACAAATAATTAAAAAGGAAACCCCCCACTATACAACAGTAATATAAAAAGATGTTCCAGCACATAATAAAACAACCAAAAGGGATTTCTCACTCAAATGGCTCCTAATACATCAGGGAATAGCCAAATCTTAAAGGACTAGAAGACTTGGGTTTGTTGTACTTTTTGGGGGGGAGGATTGTTCCAGAGAACAGAAGCAACCATAGAAAAGGCATGTTTCCTGGGTCTCATAAGATGACAAGATGATCTATTTACCTGATCCATGGAGGCTTGCCCAACAAACAATGCCTTGTAAGCTGAGGCAGCCACTGATAAGGCCCCTTTCACCAGGCCACCCGCAAGGCTATTTCCTGGACTATGTCTGCAAATCAAATTACAGTTGAAAACATACAAATATAGAGAAAGGGCTTTTTCTGTATCAGACTACTGATCCACCCAGCACAGTATAACCTACTCCAACTAGCAATAGTTTCCAATCCAGTGACCCAACATCTTCAGTGAAGATGCCAGAAACCAAAATTAACATTTTCTGTATCCAAAGAGTAGTGAGTGGTCTCTCCCAAATGCATTGTTCTCTTAAACCATTTGTCTGCTCTAGTTTCTTTTGCCATTGTTGGCTTCCTGCTTCAGTAGTGCAGTTTTTAAAGCCTCAATTGATTTGTTCAACTGTAAGATTAAATCAACATTTCTGAAAAAGGAAGAAAGAGAAAGCTAACTGACACATCAAAAATCTCTCACTAAAAAAATCAATTGTCATTCACAACATGATGAAATCTCAGTTTGATCTTTTTTTTTTACCTAGAAGATTCAGGATACATTGATGGGTTATTTATATTCTCTGGAGATGAAACCTCAGGATCATCTCTTTGTAATTCTAGAAAAAAGTGAAAATAAAAGTACATGAGAGCAAGAACAGGAAAAAAAAGAACCTATCTGTGCTCCAGGAGGAGGAAATAGAATATAGTGTTATTTAAACCAAATTTGTAAAATTTACTGAATTTACCTAATAAAAACAACAATATGTACATATGTATTCCTCAAATATACATATATCTCTGGAGAGCAACAATCTATAAAACTAATGACTTCAGTTAGAAACTCCTGCTCACTGTCTATCATGTAGAACATTGCAATACAGTACCTTCTTTCATTTGGACAGGAACCAACAGGGCTTCCTCTCTAGTAGAAAAAGTTGCTTCTTGGGAATTCTCATTTTCAGAAAGAGCCTGAAATCTGTTAGAGAAAAATAATCAGGTATTTGTAATGTACCAAAAGCTCAACTGAATGAAAATTGGAGATACTGGTTCATACTACACATTCAGGTAGTTCTATTATAATATAATGTATCTATTATAATCGAATAAAATTCCAGATGGCTCTTTTTTCATTTGGATTTGTGTATACATTTTGGCTTGGTATATACACTCAGAAATCAACACTCCTCTTTGGGAGGATACTTATAATTATAGGAGATAATGAACTCTTAAGGTTCTGGATTATTCTTGATTTATATGGTACCTTATTGGCTGTGGTTCCACAGTCTGAGGGGTCAGTGACACTTCATCAAGGGTCTGAGAGGTAATCAATGTATCACTGGTGCTATTCACTGGTGTATGGCTTTCTTCAGGACTTGCTGGAGCCATGGTCACGTTTTCTAAATTGGACTGAGAGAGTGCTGAACTGTACATTGACTCGCCCAGAGGACGGCTAGTATCAAAACATTCTGGAAGGACAATGATATAATCTTCAGAAAGAGAAGATGCCTGACTGCTGACTTCATCCTGAATATCATTGTCAGCTTCTCCTCCATTTGTTTCTTCACCATCTCGCACTGGGAGGTTTTCTAGTAGAATACAGGCGATAGTGTTTCAGTATAAATGTCAATATTGCAGTCCTTTCCACAATGCCTTCATCATTCTTTTTTGTAGGTATACCCAAGCCACAACTCTCATAAAGTAAAAACTTATTCCCTACCACCCACATCATAGGTAGTCCTTAGTCACCTGCATTTCAAATATGTATCTTGGAGAGGAATAGAAAATAGAAACTATGAATGTGTGGGGTGTGTGTGTGTGTGTGCGTGTGCGCGCGCCATCAAGTCAGCTTTTGAATTCTGTTGACAGCCTGGACTAATCCCTCCAGTTTTCTTAAAAAAGATTTTCAGAAGTGGTTTGCTGAAGTTCCTTCTAAGGGCTGAAAGATAGTGGCTGGCTCAATGTCATCAGCTGGCTTCACGCCTAAGATGAGTTTATGACTCCTGGTTTCTAGCCTGATGCCTTAATTACTATATCAAACTCTCATAAACTACGAGTAATTTAGTGAAATCTTACCAAATTCAGGAGTAGGTATTCTGGCTTCTAATTCCTCTGAAACAGGGTTAATGGAATCGTTGTCTGGGCTGCACTGGGCAATATCGGATAGTGTTTGCAGAGAATCTAAATCAACAATAACAAAAAAAACAACAAAAAAGGGGAAATGATCAATTACGCTGTAGGTGTTTTCTGAATATGCTAGTTTTTCAAAAGATATTTCAAAGCACTCACTATGCAAAGACTTCTTTTTTTGTGGGGGCTGATGATCAGGTGCAGCATCTAGGGTGAGAGAACGAATGACTGTTTCACATACAAACTGGGTTCCACTCATATCTTCCTCTCCTTCTTCTTGATTTCCTAAATTTTCAGCCTTCCCTTTGCTGAGTTCAGCATCTACAGGATAAGATTAATATTATTGGCAGTATTTACTAAAAATTTCAGAATGGAGAAAGCTATCATAAATGTTGAGAGTTTGTGTTTCATTGTTGGTAATCATTTTTATCTAATTCATTTTATCTAATGAATGTAAGTACTTCAAGCAGTGAGACACATCAAGAGGAAGCCTAATACCATTCAACCTACAGGGTTGCAAGAAAAGTGTCTTCACAAAAACATCAATTTTCAAGAGTTCGATTTGGAGGCAGATTTCAGTATCTCCATAATGCAGCTTTTATACAAAAATTAGAAATACTTAAATTTCTAGGTCTATAAAACTTAGGTTTCATAGTATTTGAATACAAGCCTAGTAATAAAGACTTATGTTGAGCCAAGCATATCATGGTTGTCAAGGGATAAAGGGTGTCCTGCAGCAGGGGTTATACTGTAAGAAAAAAACTGAAGATATAAAACACAAAACTAGGAAATCTGTATAATGCAACTTTGACTAAGTGCATACAACCTTGCAATCATTTTCCAGTATCCTAAAACTACCTGGTAAATTTTCCAAATTCTAAAGCTATGAGCTTTGCAGCAAAGTTGATTGTCAATAATAAAGCCAATTAAAATGCTTGGTCATTCAGTTCTTTTAGCCAAGACTGCTGGCTTCTACTTGATAAGAAAACCCAATGGAAGAACAGGAAATTCTTAGGGCCATTTCAGTGCTTCTCACTGCTTACCAGGCAGTAATTGATAAGTGATTCTCTCATTCTCTTCTTGTTTCTGATCCAAGTCAGTTGTTTTTGGCAGAGGAGTGCAGTCATGGCTTTTGTATGCCCCTGGCCCTTGTATGGAATCTGGAAAAGCAAGATAAGTATGATACCACAAGGAAGAAACATAACCTTTTTTTGGTATTTCTGAAACTATTTTTATAGATTCATTCCATTGCCTCATCTGTAGGGGAAAAAGTGGACTGGTCAGCAGGTAAGGACTAAACATGCCTGGAACCAAATAGAAAGAATTAAAGATTTTCAGAAGTTGAAAGAAATGATTAGTTAAGCATCACAGATCATATGGATCACAAATTTATTCTGTTCCGTTTGGCTGTCATTCACAGTCAGGGATAATATGCTAAATACACCCTAATATGTTGGCCTAGCGCAGGGGTAGGCAACCTTGGCTCTTTTATGACTCGTGGACTTCAACTCCCAGAATTCCTGAGCCAGTCAGCAATTGGAGTTGAAGTCCATGAGTCATAAAAAAGCCAAGGTTGTCTACCCCGACCTAGAGTATCAAAGGTAGCATATGCTGACCAACTATTCTTACTTTGAGGAAACTAATAAAGAGGGGACTAAGCCTTGCAAATTAAAATCTCCTTACAGTTCCATACTGTGAGAAACCTGAGAATCTTTTACAATAAGCAAATAGCACAGTGCTTGCTTAATATACCAGGCAAAACACAGTAATTTTGCAAGGAGCAGCAGCAGTTCCAGAAGATTCCAGGAATTGGTAGGGAATCCCCTATTGGAGAAGTATGGGCCTTGGCAGGTATCCAATAATGTCAATTAGGCATACTGTCTTGAGAAAGCAGGATGAGAATATATTTGCCACAACTCTCCTCCAAAAGCCTTCTTGGGCACAGAGAATACTTACCAACAGGAGTATTACGAGGGACCTGCTCCAGTTCTTGCACTATGTTAATGTCCAGCAATTCAAAGGAGAGCAAATCCTAATGGAAAGAAAACAAAATGAACAATTTAATGACAGAGAAAACTGTATGGAATAAAAATTTACCTCTGAACCCATTTTGAATTTTGGTTTATACTAGACATTTCACCTGGGCTGTGAGAAGATCAAGTGATGGGATGTAGAACTCTCTAGCACTGAGGATTCTTTTCATCTTTGATGAAGCAACTCGATTAGTCAAACTTATTTCTCCCTTGAATTCTGATCCTCTTTCCTGTAGAGAAAAGAAGTATTACTGAAGAATGCTCCAAGGTGATTTTGAGGCAAATTGTTTTACTCAGGCACTTCACTGTATTATTTATAATGCAGTACATCTTCCATACTACCTTGATCTCTACATCTTCATTTGTTATTCTAGATTATATAAAAAAGACTGAATCTTCTTCAGCTAAACCAATGTGCAAAATAAACTCGCAAAAATGATTTTTTCAATATATCTTTGTATTTTCTAAAAACATAAGTGACACTAGTACACTTTCTCCCATTGTTTTGTTCATTCAGAAGCATATTATTTTACTTTTTAAAAAAATCATATATCCCTTATATTATTGAGCTGAGAAATAGATGGAACAACAATCTTGCAATTAGTTTAGAACAAAGTTAATAGGATAAATAGATTAGGATGTTTACAGGATCCTATTTTTGCTTGGGAAACTATCTCATGCAGACTGATCCATTGATCCTAGTAAGATCTGTAACAGCCCTGCAAATGTTTTGGATGACAACTCTCATAATCTTCAATCAGTGTAGACTGATTAGCAGGCTGCTTTCTATGTTATCAAGTCAAGATCTCTTTTTTTCAGTTATACCTGAAAATGTTAGGGGCTGAATCTAGGGTTTTGGAACAAAATCCTTTTTCTCCCAAACATATAATTCTGTTTGCCAAAGAGGAAAAGCAATGACATGCTTTATTTTTTCTTTCTAGCTCTTCAATTTTGAGCGCAATTGAGGTGGACCTATAGACCACTGTTACATCCCAACGTACAAATTATTTCATGAATGACTTATCTGAATGATTCAAACTGTTAAAACAAATTAACTAACAACCCAAAGGATAATTAACTGATTGATTCTAGCAATTTAAATTATTTGAATCAGAAGAGAATATGCACATTAAAGAAGAGGGGCCATTGAGGGGAGGCAATACAGACAAAAGGCAAAAAAAGAGAAGGCAGAGATGTAATAGAATTACAAAATGGGATATGTGGAGAAAAAAATATTGAGAGGAAAAAAAACCACAGTCTTAAATACACCCAAATGTATGAGGGCCTTACCTCTTCTTTGTAAAGAGATCTACTATTCTGGCAAACACTAGGCATCAATTTGTCAGGGTCAGGACAAATAGTTTTGGAAGAAGAATCAACCACAATACTGCACCAGATCCGGGGTCCAAATTGCTCCCCTCTATGTGATAACCTCCAGTGAGATGTATAGGTTCCTTCCACTGGTGGGGCTTCAAACTCCACTGAAACAACCCCCTCTTCCCCAGGAAGTAGGGAAGGCACAATCACATCTTTTTTTCCAGAAGACACCAGAGTTATGTTTCCCCACATGAATTTTAGCTGAAATATGAATAGAAAAAAAAAACATTATTTTATTGTAACACCCAAACATGCAAGCTTCCCAGATTGGTCACGAATCAATGTTTTTAGGCCTTATGTCCTATAAGACCTTCATTAAGTAAATGTTGGCAAACAGAGATTCAAACTTCCATTCAGAGTTGAGCTTCATTCTGTGACTCTCGGGCACTACACGCAATCCAAAGAAAAATTACTATGAAGAAGAATCAGAATCCTGCATCTAAGTATCTGAGATATAATATAAAAGCCCATTTCTCAAGAATCCTAGGGCTGCAGAGAGAAAATTATTAGATAATCTTGGAGACAAGTGATGATGAAACAGACTAATAACACTTAAGAGACAATTCACAATTCACAATTCACTGATTGAATGTATACAGTTCTGCAATCTGAGCATCTCTGATTCATTAAAATGAATCCTTCAGTTCCCATTTACTCAGCAACAAAAGCAGCACAGAACCATAGCTTCTGTTTTGAGCAGTGTAGCCAAAACTCCAAACTGGGTAGTTGAGAGTTTAAAATAAATCTTTCATAAATAAGCAAATTTACATTCCTGAGATCCATTATTTACTGGAGTAGTAGAAAACAAAATAATAGCAGGACTCAGTCCAAAACATGCAATAAAGTACTATTGCATTTCAAAGTACCTTCCTAATGTTGATGCAGAAAGGGCTAAAGGCGATGAGCAATGGGAGCAGGCTCTGTGCCAATCTAGATTTTAGCACGTATTTTTACAAATTAAACATTGAAAAACACCTTGGTATCTGAGCTCCATGCCATGTTGCCTGTGTTCCTCATACGCCAATGTTTCATGAAGATAATCTTGGGTGGGAGGCGAGTTCCATCTGGTAAATTCTCATCTACAAAGGCGGCACTCAGAGTTGAGACAACTGGGCATCGCTGCAGAGAACTGTGAAATGCAGGAAACCAGAGGCAAATCAATACAATTCCAAATTTGCATGCTCATTAACCATTCTAACTAACATTTCTGTAAACTTTAACTGGGCAAAGCAAGCCGTTATAGGGGAACCATTTTGGATTCCTTAACTAGCTAACCTACAGAATGCGTTCAAAATTTGAGATCCATTGTGATATCCAGAAGGAGAAAATACAAAGGTGTCTTCTGCCTTTGTGTTTTATTTTTGTTCACTCTACAGGCTGGGCATACTGATCCCCTCCCTTGGCTGCTGGAGTGCAATTAGTATGCTAAAGCCAGCAGGAAATCAAAGTCATTCCACAGTTTTGTTCTTGGTCATTCTGTTTCTTTTCTGTTAAGAAAATATCTCCAAAATGATGACCCAATGAATCTCAATTTGGCTAGTAATCTTTTAAAACTATATTTTTAGAGAAGTAGGAAGTATTGAAAACACTAGAAATGCACAAATCATGAATTGGCTAGAAAAGGAGTTCATAGTCCATTAAAAGCCAACATCAAGTATGCAGAATGTGCTTTCCAAACATAAGCCAGGTCCAGGCTTGCTTACAAAAGTGTACTGGATTGTTGACTCTCAGATTTTGCAGCAGTGTTATCAAAAGCATGAACTGAATTCCATAGATTAAACTTTTGATGCAACTTAAGCTGCTTCTTGAGTTCCCGTGCTTCAACTTTACGCTGCTTCTTTTCTCCTCGTAAACGCTGCTTTTCTGCTTTCAGGAAATGCTTGTCTATCTGCTTCTGGAATCTGAACAATTAGAAATAAGGTATTAATTTTGCTAGAGGAGGTTCTCCCCTGTTAAAGAACATGTGAAGCTGGATATCTCCTAGTAACAAAATGACATATCTGGAATCAAAAAGTCCTAATGTTGAAACCATTCTAGTGCCCTTTTTCCATATCCCTAACAGCCCCCTGTAACAATCTAAAACTCTTCATGCAAGCTTAGCATGACTTCCAAAAGGTCCCTTGAATGCGAATGCTTTAAGTTTACAATCTATGGTTAGAGAACCCACTGGCAATAAACAAGCATCCTTTTCATGATATCCAAAGACCATATTATTGTTCGTTGCTGTCTTTTCAGCAGCAGATTCATTTTAGGAATCTGCAAGCTTTTTTCTAGGCTTAAAACAAAGTAAAACAAATGCACCTCTTCTACCCCCAATTATGGGGGTAACCCCAATAAAACAAAGCCCTATTTTATCATAAATTCTGGCCTTTGTCCATTTCAGTAGGGCATCTACAATCATCATCCAGTCCTCCCTGAACAACAGGGCATTCCCTTGTTGTTAAAATGTTCCTCTGCTTCTTTTCTCTCCAGAGTTGAATCAGATATCTAATTTTGTCCAATACCAAGATGGAGTCTTTGCCATTTCAGTAGAGCTAAACTACTAGAGATGAAAGGCATGGAGAGAAACCAGATGTTGAATTTCCCAGGTTGATATCCTCCTTGAACTTTCTTCACTGTTTATATATTCATTATCATGACCACTCTAAATATAAACAACTCAAGGGGGCTCACAATGGAAACAAGGAAGTTTGGTGCTTACTTGACTTGCTCTGAAGTGGCAAGAGGAGATGACAGCTGTCCAAGACTGTGTGTGTCTGAAATGCGCCAGGTGGGCCTCCGCAGTTTTAGAAAGACATGGTTAGGGTCATGAAAATATAATCCTGCCTCACACAATTCACAGATGTTATAGGTTGGGCAAACACTGAGAAAATAAGAAAGGCACAACTGGTGAATTACTGATCTTTTCCCTCTATTAACTATTTAAGTTATCTGCTAACCAACTTTCCCGGTTGCACTGATATACTGAGATATCACAGTTTATAAGTAGAATGTATTTGGATAAAATCTTAGGGGAAGATATAAAAACAGAATCATGAGCCAGTGAAGCTTTTGTAAGGAAAATGAAACTCTTGATTTATTTCCAAATTCACTGGAAAACTGAATTGGGAATAGATTTACAAGCTTAAAAGAGTGTTAATGAAAAGTTATTTTTATCTGCAGAACATTTTGTGTGGACAAATTTTCCAGCTGGCAGGGTCAAGGAGAAAAACCTTTTCTGCTATGGCCTCAGCCCTTTAAGCTCCCAGACTTCTGCCCTTCTGGAAGTATATAAAAACCTGGTTTTGCCAGTTGGTTTGAGGCCTTGTGAGGGACATGCATCACTGGAGAAGACTGATGAGGTAAAAGAATATCTCATTCTTGTGCTGTCCATCTCCTTGGTTCTAAATTTTTATATAATGTTTGAAATTTTAGTTATTTCCGTATTTATCTTTTTACTGTCTGTAAGTCTCCCAGAGTTGCTTTATCAGTGAGAGGAGCAGCAAATAAATTATAGCTTAGAAAACTCCTGTAAGCAAATCTTCTTGCCAAAGCAGGGAAGTAATAAGAGATCAGAATGGGAAGAAAGATTAGAATGGTTAATATTCCTGAAAGTACTTAAAACTTTTTTTCCAGAGAGCCTTTGGGGTTGCATAAATTCTGGTAGTTCCTGAACAAGTTCAGCTGAGTAAACCAAATGTTACTGTGTTTTATATTGTGTCTTAAGTTCTATTTACTGTATTAATGAAATATAAACTGCTCAAGTTATACTCTCAATAAACAAATCACAAATACAAATGAGAACTGCTCCTTTTGCAAATATAGTATCATGCAATATTATTGCCCAATTTCTCTTTGTTTTTGTTAAATAAGAAAAATGGAATACAGGCAAAATATAATATTTTTAAAGCAAAAATTTTATTGAGAGGAAGAATGTGAAAATTACTCTTCCAACTATTCAAGAAATATCACCAACTTTGTATTTGATTCCATGAGATATCTCATGTTTTCACTTTAGCTACATTATGATTAGATCATTTTTGTTATATACATCACAAACAAATGTCACTAGAAAACTTCAGAATACCAATTTCTAACCTCCAGGAAAACCATGCAAATTTGCATTTTAATCCCGACCTCTGTCCTACCTGCACTGGTAGCGAATCCCCATTATGGGCTTTTGACAATTGTTACAGGAGAGCAGCCAGTCATAGGAATTGCCTTGCACCAAAGAACTTGCAGGAGTTTGGTGTTTTGAATTGTTCATGGACCTTGGAAGCTGGTTAGAAAGAAGCAGCTTGTCACTCAACTTCTGTTCAAGCATTTTAACAGTGTCTTGAACAATTTGCTCCCGGAACTGCAAAAGGAAAGGCAGAGATAAAGAAAAGCATCCTGAGCTGTTGGCTTTTCATTTGTTGTTCTGATTTCCATTCCCAGAATACATGCATGCATTCCATTAGAATGGACAGGTAGTAAGTTAATTTACACAAAAATAGCACTGCATACAATATAAACATTAACATAATTTGGGGTATAATGGGCAACCACCCTTACATGCCTTTAATTATCGCACACTAACCATGAAATATGAATGCATTGGTTTTTCCTACCTCCTGACCATACTACACTAAGTTGGACAAAACTACCCTCTTAAATCAAATCAACTATGAAATGTGGGTTTAGCCAGTTTGGATCAAATATCAATTTGTGTACGAAGCTCCATCCATGAGGAATAATATCCTTTTCTTTACCTGTAAAGAAAGAGATATTATTCTCCAACTCTGTTCGAATCACTCCCAATGCCTTTTCCCAAGGCCTCTTCATAACAAGACAAATAGAAAAGAAACCACATTCACCTTTTCCAAGTAACTTGTGAACCACTCAGGAGGGACCTCACTAAGGCGCTCACTCTAGAGAGATTTAAAAAAGAACATAGCAGCAAAACTTAACATACAACTTTCTTATATCTATTCATACTGAACTTGGCAACTGAGCGAATAAAGGCACTCTTCAGACTTTGCCATATTGTTTGTTTGGTTGGGCTTTTTTTTTTTACTTAAAAATAAGGCCTGGCTTATAACAATGTCATTCTTCTGGCAGAACAGAATTTAACCTGTGTTTGGTATTCCAGGGGATACTTAGAAGTTTGCCAGTTATGTTCAGTCAGCCCAAAATTTAAAAAGCCACTACTTCTAATAGCCAAGAACACTGGTTGAGTTCATAAAATCTGAGGATCTTTTAGCATTATTTAACACAGCATTACTTAAACAACATTCTCTCTTTGAATGCATATAATGGATTACTGGCTGATTAATTAAATGCCGCTGAATATTTTGATAATACATTTTGCTAGTGGTTTTAGAAAATAGCTTATGATGTTTTCAGCTTTTTACTACTTCAAAACTTTTAGCAAAATATATGATATATTCAAGGGGAAGCAATTAATTCAATTAATAATTTGCAAGAAACAAATCTGCTTTCAAATAAGTCTGAAATGTGTAGAATGTTATGTATTTTAAAAACCAGGAAAACATTTACTTCTTCAGAAAAAAAAGCATGCAATCTACTCAATACCTACATTCCCCTCTGAATGCTTTCTAGGAATTGTATTTAAAATGAAATAAATTGTAAAAAGTAACAGTAATAATGAGCACAACAATTAGCAATAAAATGTGGGGAAAAATAAGGCATCGGAAAATAATTTTAGGACAAGTGAAAGTCAGTTTTGAATAATATCAGACAACCCACAACATTTCATCAACATTAAACATTACAGACCTTATATTTTTCTATTTTTATATAAATAGAAACACTGAGATAATTACCAATAATTGTCTCCCCCATGGATTTAAGCTCAATACACTAACCCTAAGCCTGTATATATCTCAGGAGGATATCTACATAAAACATGTATGTATGTATGTATGTATGTATGTATGTATGTATGTATGTATGTATATAGTATTCATCTTAGATCTTAAGATCTGAATCTAAAGATAAGGATTGATTAAAACAAAATGAAGCATTGCCACGCAATTTAATGCAATTAAAATCATAACCTTTGCAAGGTGAGATAGACAAAGAAAGAAAAACATGGTGTTAATGGATAGTTGACAGGATTGTTCCAGATGCCTGGAAATTCATCTTTTTACTTCTACCTGTAGTTTTTTATTCTTTCTTTTAGTATCTTTGTCTTTTATTAGAGTTTGACCAATTGGGGGCTTCTTTTTAACTTCTGGAACAAATGGTTCCTCAGATCTCCCAAAGACCAGTCCTGAAGACATGTCTGAAGGAATTCTTAATTCATAGACATTCATGTGGAGCTGATTGCCTTGTTTCATTGCAATCTGAAAAAAAAAATCAGTAAAATTACTTATACATGGACACAGTCATTCTAATGAACTATCTTTCTAAACTAACATTTATTGAGAATCAAAATTTTTAAAAATTAGCATTGTGTGACGTTGAAGTGCCTGGCAGAAGGAAAGCAGATGGTCTGCGCTAAGGTCATAGTTTTCTCAGGACAAGACCATAAATACTTAGGCAAAATGGAAAAATGCTAGAAAGTACGTTTACAGTAGAATGTATATGTCTTGGATGTAGAATATAAAAAAAGACAGGAAAAGTTGAAAAGGGATTTTTTTAAAATTGCAAATTGACTACTGATCAAACCAGATGGACGTTGCATCAGTAATAGATCTTTTCAAACTCAACATTCAGGGAGCTTTTTCTAATTTATAAGGGCATCAAAAGTTAAAATTTCCTCTTTTATATATTATTTCTATATTCACTTCACTCTTAATTTTCTAGAAATTTCGTTAACTGGGATACTAAGAGGTTTTGCCAAAATTCCTTGTGCGACTTCTCTATCTGTGCCCTTCACAACCAGACAGATATTTAGGAATTAGACCAAAAAAGAGAATCTAAACTCTCTAAATCTAAAGTTTGGAATCAAACCTTTGACAATAGAAATAGTAAGAATAATCTTTCACAGAAAGTAAGTTACAAGGATACAATAACACAGGTTAAGACTTATTTAAAAATCAGAAATGTTGCAAAACAAAAAAGAAAGACTAAATGCTTAAAGCTAACATAGAGACTAACAGAACAACCATAAGAATGTAGAGAAATAAACATAAAAACTGAAGCTCTTAGATGTATTCTGACCCAAATGAAGAGGAAGGTAATACAGAAGTAATTTGTTACTGTCTTTACTGCAAAATAGATAAACAGTATTGATTAAAAAGAAATTCAATAACTTGGAACTGGACCAGTATGGGCTAGTTTAAATGATTTTATTAACTGAGATAAAATAGAATAAAATCTCTGACACATTAAGAAATCCAAAGACTTAATTTGTACTACTATAAAAATAAGCCTCCAAAGCTAATCTAATCCGTTACCTTAACAGCCTCTTGATATTCCTCTAAAAAGAGAAATAAATAAACTGTGGTTAATATTAACATTATCATGTCCAGAACTGCATTTGCAAATAAATTAGTATATTTTTAATCAGTCCCAATATAATTTCATTACTTTGATAATTCCTTTTCATTCCTTAATAAAAGATTTCATCCCCCATCTCCAAATCCAATGACAAAGAAGTTTAGAAAAAAAAAGTGAATACACCCTGTAGGACTTGCTAAGTATTATTATGATGTACAATCCATGTCATTAATTTCATCTCTTCAAATGTAATGGAATTCTATATTCAAAGTATTTAAAAGAAAAAAAAAACAAGAAGAATCACATGTCCTGGGTAGTATGAGCAATCCATATTTCAGTTTTGAAATATTAATTTTGAGAAAATTTAAATGTTTCACAAGTGAATTAGCACTGAACTTAGTAAACTTTACATAATAAGAAGTGACAGAATAAAGACATCACTAGATTTAGCCTCCTCCTTAAAGACTATGTGAAGAAGCTGCAGATACAAAGCCTCATTCTAATAAAGAAATAGAAAAACACTGGTTAACCAGATAATCACTAAATACAGTTTTTACAGGGAGAAAACAAGGCGTGAAATACTTCCTCTAAGTGTCCCTTATTTAGATTGCTGCCTTTATTCACACCACAGTAGGACTCATCAGATTTTATGAATCAGCCAAAGGCAACTTACCTGCAGTGTTGATTGATACCTGTAAAAAGAAAGCAAACCATGAATGAAGGCTTTTCATTACTGCTTATAATATTCATATTCTTAGAAGGATTTTTCACATGATCATTTCAGAACAGTAGACTAACTTTTGACATCATTCATAATTCTTGCAGACATTTTTATTGTTATTAGGTTGCCTGTTATTTCTTTATTAAACAACAGATCTTTTTCCCTATCCTGCTTCCCTACTAAGAAACAACATAGTCTGAAGTAAAATCAACAAGGCCATGCAAATTAAGACTATAGAAAAAGCTCTTTCAACAAATATTGCTGGTCAGATCATATTCAAATGTCGCCACTGTTGATCTCCATTCCCCAAATATGCTGCCATCTCTCTGTTATGGGTTATCATTTTGAAGATGACTGGTACATCACAGAGCTCCCAGCCCATTCCAACTTGGTGATCTCTGATCCTCAGCAAGAGTTCTATTCTAGGGAATTTTGGAAATTGTAATATAACTCATATCAGAAGGAAGCCCTCTATATAACTAAAGTAACTAAAGCAGTGGTTCGCAACCTTTTTAATGCCGCGACCCCCAACCGGTCATAAGTCAAGGACTAAACCGGTCGTAAGTCGAGGACTAAACCGGTCGTAAGTCGAGGACTAAACCGGTCGTAAGTCGAGGACTTTTCCTGCCTGGGAGCACCGCGCATGCGTGGTGCCGCCCCCTGCGCCAGCCAAGGCGTAGCTGGCAAGCGACAGAGACGGAGCAGGCCGACTACCGGCTGGGCCACCAGCTGGCCCAGCCCAAGGGAGGTAAGGCACCCGCCGGAAAAGGGGAAAAAATGGCAGACAGCCTTGCTTGGCGACCCCCGTGAAATGGTCAATCGACCCCAAATGGGGTTGTGACCCATAGGTTGAGAACCGCTGAACTAAAGAATAAATCACTCCTATTCATACCTATTTCTCAAGAATGGGCAAATTTGTAACAAAATGCATGTACAATGTTCTTGTTCTAGATATAAACTACAGTATTAGCCTTTTTATAATTTCAAGAGCAAAATTTTTTTTTAAAGCATAGATAAAACTATTGTTATCAGGGGGCAGAAGTGACCTTATTTTTGCTATAAAGAGGTAATTAAAGTTAATCCTTAACTTACAACTTTTCATTTGGTAACTCTTCAAAATTATGATGGTGCTGAACATAGGGACTTACAACCCCTGCGCAAAGTTCCAACCATTGCAGCATTGCCAGTCACATAATAAAAACCCAGACTTTAGGCATCACATCCACCCTTATGATTACAGATTCACCACAACTCCCACCCCAACAAGGGAGAAGGAAACAGCTGCAGGGAAAGCGAAAGGTAAGTGGACCTAAATATGATGGGACAGGAAAAAGGCCCACACATCTCAGGAATGGCAGGAAGGAGGAGATGATTTATGTACTGGTGTGCCTAGCTGGCTGACATCTTCTGACCATGGCAGGTTTCTGCCCATTGGTAGGCCTATCCAGCTGAGGCCTCCAGGTATGGTGGTAGAGGGAGGAGGCCGAGGCCTCTCAAGGGTGGTAGGGGGAAGAGAGGAAGTCTGTGAGCCTAGCCCAGGGGTGTCAAGCTCAATTTCATTGAGGGCCGCATCAGCATTGCGGTTGCCCTCGGGATGGGGGTGGGGTGTGTGACCAGGGTGGGTGCAGCCTACTGGGTGGGCATGGAGTGGGGGTGGCCTATTGGGTGGGCATGGCCAGCTCTACATTGTTCGTGTCAAGGGTGCCTGTGGGGGCCTGGGCAGGAGTGGGACAGATCTGAGGGTCTCTGGCAGGATGGGACCGGGGCAAGCACCAAGGCATGGTCCATTTCTTCATTCCTCACAAAGGGTGACACCCTCCCAGCATGCACCCAGGGGGCGGGGCCGACATGGCAGGGGCTGGTTCCTCACTGTTTCTAGACGGCCTTGTGGAGCTAAGACTGAATGAGTTTCAGCATAGATGGCCACCACAAAATTGTACATTGGCTCCCGGCTGGCCTGGGCCAGGGCCAAGGCAGCAGGGGCCGTTCCCTCACTGTTTCCAGAATGGCTTCGCAGGCCATATCCAGCCCCCAGGCCTTGTATTTGACATATCTGGCCTAGCCAATTGCAGCCTTGTGACCCACAGATTTCCACTGGTTGGTGGGTATCGGGCTTTCCAAGGCCTTCACCACCCCTTGAGGCATCTCTGCATGGTCATTTAATACTGCAATAAAAGAGCTGGGATTATGATAATTGAGTGAGGCAGTTATTTGGATGTCTTGCTTTATGACCATAATTTACAGGGGGAAAATCTGAGCTTAATTATGGTCATAAATCAAGGACTGACACACACACACACACACACACACACACACACACACACACACACAATCTTTTGAATCCTGAAATGGTAAACGAGCTTCTGGAGAGATGTCAGAAAAATGAGATAATCTGTGAAACTAAGTATTACCCAATACAGACCAAGTATTGACTGGAAACTATTTTGCAAGGAGAAAAAAGCTTCTTTATAAAAAATATATGAAGTTCTTTTTAGTTTTTTATTCTTTCAAAAGTACAAAGATGTGCTTTTCATTTTTAAGTCTTCTATATAGGTAGATGTACAGTACCTCATCATGATCCTCATCTAGGTATTTGATCTGGATAACATTCAGTTCAAATGAGACTTTCACCTATAATAGAAATTAACTATAGTGAAATGGCTCTTCTCCATGATGACTGAGAAACAGGCAGCAATGATTAATCCTTTTTATTGATATCTCAAGTGTTAATGAAGCCAGGAACAATTCTACTCCTGTTTGTCAACTCCAAGCTATATATATTTTGTACTTAAAAGAATCAAGTTTTTTATCCCAGTGAAGAAGTCTATAAGTTGTTTAGAATATTTTGCACATATCTATCTTGTCCATTAATCAAAAGGTGACTTTCGTAGCCTTAATTTCACCTCCCTTACCCAATGGACTGGCGTTTTCAACCAAATTTCAGACTTAGTAAAAATAAATCAAGTAAATAATTTTTTCTAACAAACCCACTGCATTCATTAAAAATTTTGGAGGAACTTGAAAATAAAACTAAAATTCTTCATATACATGAGTTTCTTCCAGTAAAAAAATACAGTATACAAAGTTGTGAAAAATGACTATACACAAGTACACTAGCAAGTTAAAGATTTCCACAAAAGACAAAACAACCTTATGTCAATATTGAATTAAACCTCTTGCAGCAAAAACATGCAAGTTCATGCCCATTTTCAAATATTGTCTCCACAGCTACACTAAATTTATATTTAATCTTGATTGGAATAATATTTTCCATCTCTTTTAATGTTAAGTGCTGGTCCAAAAACATCTCAGATCTGCTTTCCACAAGCATATAAAAAGAAACTTGGAGGTGTAAGCAATTATCTTGTTTGATCCTGAACATACAATCCCATCCACTTTCTGTTATGAAGCACGGATTGGTCAATGAACAAATAACTTCAGCAAGAACTGTTCCCTTACAAAGAACATTAAAAAATTAAGTGACCACTATTGGGAGCTCAGATATATTTTTGATTATCATCTGATAGCCTATACCAATTATTAGATTAGTATCTAGATTTGATTGCTAGAATTTTGTTGTTTCTAGCCACTGATCTTGTATTATAGCTCTGCATAAATTGAGGGAGAAGGTTGAAGCTGTAAAAGATGTTAATGTTATACTAGTTTAACCACTGCATAGCTGGAATACTATAGACATGTCAGCAATGCAACAGCCAAATTGCCTTCAACCTTTTCTGCAACTATCAGATTAATAAGGAGTGGGGACTCTAACACAATTGCATTAATAAAATTTGCCCAATCTGCAAATCAAAGGATGGGAAGAAAGTTGGGATCATTTCATAAATGTCCAATACTCTTAACATTTTACAGAGATAATCTTCTCAAATTTTAGTTGGTTTACCATTTCAATTACAATAGAATTCTAAGCAGTTTATAAAATACATGTTAGAATTAAACAACAAAGATAGAAACAAATCATAAATAACTAAAACTTATTAACAATCAAATTGGGAAGATGGATGACCAATTACAAACCATCTGGAATATACGTCCAAAAGTGGGCTCAGAAACCACCCAGTTCTAGGGCTTGCTGAAAAAGCTAGATATTTATAAAAACTTAAATAGTTAAGTGATATGAGGACATCAAAGGGAAATTTTAAAACTTATTGATCAGTGAATCACAATTAGCAAAGACACAACTCACCATGGCTTCCACATCAGCCCATGTGGTTTTAGATGATACAAGAAAGTTCAGGGTGTTACCTTGGAAGGTCACACCGAAATTTACCTGGGGATCCATTCTGCAAGTCTTGGAAAGAAAATGAAAACATCAATTAAAAACAATGTAGTTGTTCCAAACTTAACTTCTTTTTGAGAGGAACCAAGCGCTCACAATATTTTTATAAAGTTCAAAGAACTAAAAAACTGGGTTTAGGACCACCTGAATTTTTCTCTTCCTCTCTCCATCCTTCTGAATATTCTCCTAAACTGTGCCTGCTTGCATAGGATAAAAATAAGAAAATAATGATGAAATTAAGCTTTCATCATGTCTTCTGACTGCTAGTTGGTGTTCTTGGATAATCTCTGTACTTTAATTAAAGATTAAGTCAAGTGCACATCTCTGTGCTTTGTTAGGTCAGGTTCACCTAACCAAATACAGCAAGTTTAAAATACCCAGAATCACGGATACAAAGTCAAGGTTAATATGGATTAATCATTATGTTAGCTGTGTCATAATGAAAATATGGAATAGGTAAAAATCTAAATAGGTCCAAAAACACCTTTATGATTCTCAGCACAAGACATTTTTATAGACAAGAAATAATAGGCAAAGATAAAGGCTAACTTATTGTAAGATACTAGAATTTTGTTAAGAGAAATGTAAAATACAATTTAAAAAACTGATGTCAGTGCTCCTCTTATTTACAATTAGATTTAAAATAGACAAAGTAATGTATAGTTTTGAACATTCTAAGACAGTTTGAAACGACTGTGTAAAATATGAACATATATATTTGCAAAAATTTATAAATCTATTGAAATTTGAAATGGAAGAACAAGTGAAACAATATTTAATAAAGTAGGCTAAATTTTTTGGTTATAACAAATGAAACAATAAGTAAGTTGTTAGGATTGAAAAGTATGCTATGTATACTATGTTATATTAAAGAGAAATTCAGTTATCATATCAAGAATACATTTTATAAAAATTCTCTTTAAGATTATATGTCACAAGAAAAATTGTCTACAATATATAAAGGGGCTTCAAATTTATATTGGAAATGTGACAATAGCGGTATTTTATCATGTATAGAAACTAAAACAGTAGCAACAAGATTATTGTATGTACAAAAACAGAAAGGTTTGGCATTATCCACAATGGAGGAATGGCTGGTGAAGATAATGGATAATACAAGATTGGGAATACTAGGGCTTTGCACAAATTTGTGTGTTGTAAATACAATTATAGTTGCTTCCCAGCTCATGACCAGCTTTTATTCCAATATGTAATCCAATTCCAGCTACAAAACATGTTTCTGTATTTGTTTCTTCATTAATCTAACTATAATAATAGTTTACAATGCAGTGTATATAAGGCACGTATACTCCTTTCTGGTAGTTCCTCAGACCGGCATTGCTCCGAGGAAAATACTTGGAAATGGAAATATCCTTTCCCACCATTTTGAGGTAGAAAAGCAAGTACTCGTTAGGCTTACTTTTAAAACTAAAGTGTTAGCACTATCAACAGAAAAGCAGCTCTACAAAAGGTATCCTCAGTTATCAAAAAATAATCACTGTCACTGGTCTACATTATTGAAACCACTTCTTTTACACTTTTCTTTCTGCTTTCAAATTCTATCAAACTTCATAAACAGCAGCATGTTATATTATTTATAGAACAATTTTGAAAGAAAAAAATATTATGGAATATTTGTAAGTTCCATACCTTTGCAGAAACTTAAAAGTGATTGCCTACAAAACTTCACAAATATTGCAGACAAGCACCATGGAACAATTACCATCTTGAAAATCCTTCAAACAGAAAATTGCATATCATGGGATCTACCAGAAAGTCACCATCTTAATTGGCCTATTTGCTATAGTTACAAGATATCTCGTTAGTAAGTTATCCGAGATTAATCGCAGTATTAATAAAACTATGAAAACAGATGGGTTGCTACATTAACGCTGCAATTATGTAAAAGCATCAAAATTGACGTATGTAGTAAGCATACATAGCATTGGTCTCTATATCACACATTTACTGAAATGTGAGATTAAGGGCGTTTCCGTTTGGCTTTGCATTAAAATCGAAATTGCCAATTTGGAGAGCCTTAAGAAAGTTTATTATAACGTGACAGCCCGAAAAAGTTGCCTGCTATTGAAGCAAGTACATAAAACCACAGGAACCGGAGAGGAGCCGACTTAGTAACACAGCGTTTTCCGAACACAAAAGCTATGCACTGGCCGCTTCTCCAGGACTAATCTTTGTCGGCCCCTTGCTTACCAAACGCTCAGCAAACCCACATCAGTCGGCGTCTGCCATCGGGCGCCCTCCAGCTGCACTAAACCGCCGCAGCCCACCGACGCGAGGGTGAAGGCGAGGGAGCTATTCTATTACCCCGCACGACTGGAGGACGCCCCTTTAAAGAGGACAGGGAGGCAGCAGGCGTGCGGCACGAAACTTACTCGACGGCCCATCAGGTCCTGGGTCTCTGACGAGTGGACCTCGGCAAAGACCAAGGTTCCACGCTCACCCACGCTGTGACGCAAGAAGATCGCGGGTTCGCCAGCCAGCTGTCGCAACCTCTGCTCCTTAATGCGACTGGACGGGGGCGTGCCCTTCACCTCAGCTCTTTTATACTATTGGCTACCCAGGACGAGAGAGGCGGATCCCGTGAAGAACAACAATAACAAGTAAAGAGATTGACGCATCGCATTACCAGGAGAAGGGATTTCCGGGTCAAGTGCGTGGCAGTAGCCATTTTCACGCGTCTTTATTGCAACCAGCCAATAAAAAAACCAAACATTTGATTGCAGTAAAAAGATCGCGGCAAATACAAAATTTCAGCTCGTCCAAATTCACATTGGATTCTGTGTGAATGTTTTCCTTATTGAAAAAAAAAAAGATCAGCGTCTTTCCGAGATTATGAAAAATATCGGCCTACAATAATTTATTTATCATATGCCGCCTATCACGTCGAGGGAGACTCTAGGCGGCTTATAGACAAACCCGCTTAGCAAGATTTTTTTTTTAACGAGAGCCAGTTTGGTGTTTGCCATTGCCTTCTTGCCAGGACTGAGAAAGTGATTGGCCCAAAGTCACTGGCTTCATGTCTAAGATGAGACCAGAACTCAGTCTTTCGATTTCTAGCCTGCGATGCCTTAATCATTAGACAAAACTGACCCTAGCCTTAATTACATTTGAATAGGCCACATTGTTCGAGTCGCAGCTGATAGAAGTTATTGATGGGATCCTTCCATACTCAAGCAGCGAGGGCTGTAGCGTCATCCTTTCCCCCCGCCTTTCTGGCGTTACCAATTGGAGGCCTCTGTTGCAGTCATGGGATCCGGAAGCTATGAAGCGATTGGTTAGCAGATGGTTGCCACGGGTATTTATTAACGGAGGAAGGCGCGAAAAAAAGCAGAGCGGGAGGCGGAGGGAATTGACGTTCTTTAGAGGCGCAAGGACCAGGTGATCGTGCAAACTTTAAGCGAAGGAAAGCAGCGTTTAGGTTACTCCGTGAGTAATACACAGCAGTGTAATTTGGCAGTGACACTGCAGATTGTGGCTAGAGTTCAGACGCGCTTTTTTCAAAATTTGGGAGATTTTGAAGCGTTGGTCTAAAAATCAAGAGGCACTGATTAGTAATGGAGTTCAGGGGGAGATGAAACAAGCATCTAGTGTCGAACTTGTGACGTCACGCGACCTATCGCGACTTTTCCCCCATTGCCGGCAATGGGGTGGGCGCAGTTACAGACTGCCGAAAAGAAAGATTATCAGCTGACAAAGATATTTTTTCTCTCCCTCATTCCAGTCTTTTATTATATGAACTAGACTAGTGTCGGCTAGGGGTGTCGCGCCTTCCTCCCTTCATATCCGTGGCAACCACCTTTAATTTGAATAAAGTTTAGTAGGTAAAATAGGGCATTTGTTTCCTATCCTAAAAAGAGGATTTACTTATAAAAAGCAATTGTAGGTGGATAGAAAAAGAACGGTCGCCATTAGTAATGCCTATTTCTAATTTGATTTCATGAAATTATTTTGGATAGTTAGTGAAATTAGGGATAATGCTGAAAAGTACTTGGGCAATAAATCAAGGACATTATTAACTAAACTTTGTTTATCAAAAATATGAGGCATTGTGGGAAAATTGTGTGTGAATCAGCTGAGTCACTTATAAATGAAGGGAAATTCTTATAACAATGTTCTGGATTCTGTATTAGTATGACAAAGAAAACTAATTTGATGTAGTGATTGAAATATCAGATTAGAAATAAGTGATTGTTAGTCCTAGTCCTGCTTTAAGTATGAAAGATGCCTGGGTGACTTTGGGCTGGCCACTCTCAGCCCAACTAATCTCACAGAGTTTTGTTGAGTCCAAATACTTTTCAGCATTATCTCTAATTTCACTAAGTAGATAATTTCACTGACCATCCAAAATATTTGAGTTATTTATAAAATAATAAAGGAAGAATATAAATAAAAAAATAAAAAATCTGCTTGGTGATTTTAGACCACTAACTTTTTCTTGTGGCCTAGAAACTATGGCATGCCAAGTCTGGCATGCAATTGCTAAGAACTTGACGCCTGGATTTAAGAAAGACACTATCTTTTTTGGCCACCCAGAAATATAGATCATAAGTAATTCAGGCAAAGCAAAAAAATATTAAGAGGGGGTCAATTTCTTTTTATTGATCCAAAATCAATTATATACTCACGTCATACATCAGAAAGCAAATGGTTAAACTGTAAAAGATGTAGATTGCATGTGAGATTTGAATAACAGCAAACATTGATTCTAGATAACTAGATTCCAAAAATGGCAAATTTATGGGTTATATACTCTTTCCTAATTGGATTTGTATTTTTCCTGAAACTGTATTCCTACAAGTGTATTCAAGGACTTTCAGAATAAGCTAGCTATTATTTAGTGTTAAAAAGACAAGGTTGTGCAAACCAAAAGAAATGGCCTTGACTAAGGAGAAAAAGTACGTATGTTTTTCTGAAATTTACAATAGAAGCCTAGACGATGTTAAAATTGTCAATAATATATTTTAAAATGATGATAATAAAGCCTAAAATTTCAGGTAACATCCTCAGCCCCAGGAAGCAGACAACAGCAAACCACTTCAATATCTTTGCAAGAAATCTGCAGGTAGTTAAGACAGTCGCCAAGTGTCAACACTGATTCAAAGGCATAGACACAAACATAGCACTATAGATATTTATTGAAATCTGGGCAGTTCGTGTTTCTTTGGTCTTCCTAGCTATGTGGGAATTGACAGCTACCTCCATAGATCTTTTGTGATTTATACAGATTCAAACCTGCTTTTGTAATATTTCACTGCTTCTTGATTTTTCTAGATATAAAGCATTTTATTTAGTTTGCAAACAAAGAAATCTAAAAGGTCCAAAATAATGTGTCCATAATATAGTGCGGTTTTAATTGCCTAATTCAGAAGTGTTTTAAATATATTTTTTTCAAATAATTAGTTAAAAGTCAACATAAGCTACAAAAATATAAGAAAAAGACAAAGAAAAGTATCTTCGTCTTTTATACTAGAAGGGAAAAATAATTTTAGTAGCTTATCACCATCTTAAAAGAAACATACAGTTGGTCCTCAGCTTAGAATCATTCGTTTGTGACCATTCAAAGCTACAATGGCATTGAAAAAAAGTGACATGTTCATTTTCACATTTACAATCATTTCAGCATCCCCATGGTCACATGATCAAAATTTAGATGCTTGGCAACTGGCTTGTATTTATGATGGTTGCAGTGTCCTTGCAACTATTACTTTTTGTGTGCGATCACCTTTTGTGATCTTCTGATAAGTAAGGTTAATGGGGAAGTTGGATTCACTTAAAAATTGCTATGCATGTAACAACTGCAGTGATTCAACTGGCAAGAAAGATTGTAAAAAAGGGACAACCTCACTTAACAACTGCCTTTCTTTGCAACATAAATTTTGGTTTGGGTTGTGGTTGTAGGTCAAGGACTACCTGTAATCTTCTAGTTAATCTTTTATGTAAAGAAAATCAATCAATCTTTGCCAGCAAACTTCCAGTAAGGGAAACCAAGTATTGCTATTCTTTTCTTTTAACCCTGATCAAACAAGCATCATATAAAACTTCTCTGAGTTTTAAAAAAAAAATTTTAACCCTTCAAAAAAGTCCCAGAAATAGTTTGCTGATCTATGTTTCACGATGAAAATCCTTTGGAACTCGTAATAGATTTCTTTTATATCACTATATACAATTTATCTTTTGCTTGTTATTTCTAAAAAAATTGTTCCAAATCTTAGCAGAGCTCTTTTGAATCTCCAGAAGAAAAAAAGTGTATCCAAATCAGTTTCCTATTCATCTCTTGAAAGGATTAATTAATCCATCAGAACCACTTGTATTATATTGAAATACATCTTCAAATTAATTTCATAGACATCCATTACAGCTCATTCTTGTTTTACAACTTCATTAGAACATGCTGTCAAATTTATTGTTTGCTTCATTTTATCCAAAAGCTTGTCTGAGATGTATTTAGAAGTTTGTAGTAAGGATTTCTGCTCCATTTTCTTTATCCATTCACTCTAATGTCCAGCCTTTAAAGTTTCCTTATCATAAAAAACATAAATATCCATTTCCCCAAAGAATATACTTTCTAAATAATTCAAAATTATAATTCAACTCCCTGTGGCCCCTTAATTTGTTATTGTCTTTCCAGAATCCATATACTAAGCATGCTTTTGCTGCATTAACCAAAAAAATACATTGATAAAACTAATTAAATTTACAGTAATGTCTTTTAAGAAGGTGGAAACTCACAGTAAAACCTTGCTGGTCTGAAGGGTCTTAATCTCTCCAATATACATTTAAAAAAAAAAAATCCAAGAAAGTGATTAAGAGATAAGTCTGATCAAGCATAAGGTTCATAGAGGCTGCTTTGGAAAGGTAAGTTTGAAGTAATCCCGACTCCCAACCTTCTACACAAAGTCGACCACAGTAACCAGCAGCTGTCCAGAATCACATGGATGATCTCAACAATCTCGTTTGTTCCAGAGAAATTAAGCTGCCTCGATTAGTATCTACCCGTGATTCTCCTCACAAAAGTTGTCTTGCCAGTCATCAACAGCCAACAAGATGTCAACTTATTTCGTAGGAAGTCTCCAGAAGATATTTTTAAATTTAATTATAAAAAAAGAATTCTCACACTCTGGCCTTGGGTACCAATATTATTTTATATGCTTTGACCTAGAGCAGGGCTTTTCAACCTTTTTACCCATTGTACCACTTTTAGGATAAGGCAACATCTGAGTACCGCCACTCACCCAGCAAGGTGTCAAAAATTTGACCCTCCCCCCCAAAAAAAGGAAAAAAATGATAAAGTACAGGTAGTCCTTGACTTACAACAATTTGCTTAGTGATTGTTCGAAGTTACAATGGCACTGAAAAAAGTGACTTATGACCATTTTTCACACTTATGACTGTTGCAGCATCCCCAGGGTCATGTGATTTACATTTGGATGCTTGGCAACTGATTCATACTTACGACATTCACAGTGTCCCAGGGTCATGTGATCACCTTTTGCAACTTTTTGACAAAAAAAGTCAATGGCTGGGTTGGGCAGCTCATCACTCAGGTTGCAAGGTGCCTGTGTGGTGGGAATCCATGGGTCTCTGGTGGAGGGGGTGGTGGAATCGGGTGGGTACCCTCCTTTCCTCCCTTTTCCCATTGTCCATTCCTTCTTTCCTTCCTTTCTTCCCTCCTTTTTTGTCCCTCCTCCTTCCCTCCCTCCCTTCCATTGTCCATCCCTCCCTCCTTCAGGTTGCAGGGTTCCTGTGGGGGGGGGGAATCCATGGATCTGTGGTGGAGGGAGGTGGGACTGGGGTGGATGCCTTCCTTCCCTCCCTCTCTCCCATTGTCCCTTCCTTTTCCATCCTTCCTTCCCTCTTTGTCTCTTCCTCCTTCCCTCCCTTCCATTGTCCCTCTTTCCCTCTCATTGTACCTCCCTCCCTGCCTCCATCACTCAGTTTTCATTTCTTCAATGGTGGTTCCTTTGCTGAATCACTTTCCTTTTGCAGTCGCGCTCGGTGCAGCCGGGAGCCCAGCACAGCCACCATTCTTCCGCAGGGAGAGGAGAGTGCAGGCAGCAGAGGAACGCATGGGGGTGGGGAAAGAGCTGCGGCTGCTGGACTCCCTCTGGTGCATTGCGCCCGGCCGCAGCTGGAGAAAAGCTGCAAACGGGGAAGCGGCTCATTCATTGCTGCAGCCAGCCCCGAGGAAGAGCCGACTGGCTATATTCTTTGCAGCCAACAGAAGGGCTTTGATCCCGCTTCCCCTTCGCTCCGGCTGGGTCCATGAATGCCAGATTCAAGAAGACGGAGGAAGGCTCACATGTCTCCACCCTAACACCCACAGCTGGCCTTTCAAACTGCCCTGGGGTTAGATCTGGCATTCACGAACCCCGCTGGAGCGAAGGGGAAGTAGGATCAAAGCCCTTCTTTCAGCCGCAAAGAATGTAGCCAGGCGGGATTCGCCTGGGGGTTGTGCTGGTTCTTCCTCGGAGCTGACTGCAGCAATGAATGAGCCACTTCCCCGCTCGCTGCTTTTCTCCGGCTGCGGCCATGCGCAATGCACCAGAGGCAGTCCGGCAGCAGCAGCTCTTTCCCTGCCCCCGTGCACTCCTCCGCTGCCTCCGCTCTCCTCCCCCTGCAGCCAAGGAGAAGCAGAGGGCAGGAACCGGAGCAGCCGCCGTCGTGCAGCCATCTGGCTCAGCAACAATGGCGGCAGCAGCGGCCAAACTCCAATTGCCTCCTCCGGGCTCTTTTATGCCCTCCCCGCTCCGGTCCGGTGAAAGTCGTTCAGGACCTCTGGAAGCGAGCGAGATGGGCAGGGGCGCGAATCAGCGTGTGCTCAGAAATGCCGATCTCATGCTTCTGCCCATCTCGCTCGCTTGCTTTCCACTTGCTTTCTGCAAACAAGTGAGATGGGCAGGAGCTCCTGGGCCCCCCGCACCCACCGTTAACCCTCCCGCCACCATGCAGGATAAGGTTGGTGCCTCTGCCCAGATGCCCTCGCCTCCCCCAAGCATTTTTTACTTACCTGCTTTCAGCTGCACTCCCTTTATCCTTTTGCTTTTCTGCCTTCGCCACATGTTTGTGGGTAAAAAAGAAAAAAAGTTCCATGAGACTTTCTAACTTCTCGTGAGAAGTTAGAAAGTCTCATGAAACTTTTTTTTTTTGTCTCACAAACACATGAAGCCTGAGAAGGACAGGAGAAAGGGAATGCTGCTGAAGGCAGGTGAGTAAAAAAACCCTTGGGGGAGGTGAGGGCATGTGAGTGGGGGCAGGGGGGACCCAGGCAATGTGTCACGCAGCTCCAGCGGAATCTCCACTGAAGACTGTGCGAGGCTGCCTGCTACCCCCAAGGCCACCGCCAATCAGCTGAAACTGCATGCTTTGATCCTAGGCTCTCAGTAGGACCCAGGCAAAGTGCAGTTCCAGCTGACTTTGCCACAAGCCTGTGCGGTGCTGCTATGCTTCACCTCATTCACTTTTACACTTTTTTAAAACATTTTTTAACATTTTTTTTTACATTTTTTTCCAACCCGTCCTATGCGTACCACCAGCCAGGTGCTCACGTACCACTGGTGGTACACATCCCACCAGTTGAAAAGCCCTGACCTAGAGTACAATATTTTGAGAGACATGTTGTGCATTCACAGAGGCATTGTTATTTTCATAGTTATACTTTGTTTTCTTTTCTAAGGTCTGTTTCGGTTCCCATGGCTTGTCTTATGTAATTATTAGAAAAAGCCAGATGAGTTAGTGCCTTACTTTAAAGTCCTCCAATTTATTGTTTCATTTTATCTTTTATAAATCTTTTAAAATATTCTTCCGAGATTCTCATTTTTACTTTATGGCCATCATACTATTCTTCAGGGCAAGCAGATTGTCCATCTCATAGAACAATATTAATAGTAAGAAAAAGAAAATGCATGTGATAAAAAGAAATCTAGCTAAATATAGTTTACACTACCATATATCTTTCTGTCTTTGCAAGCCATTCTTGCTTTCACCATAACTATTATCTTTTAATAATCTCTTTCTTTTTTAATAATCTCATGGACTTTTCCTAACCACTTTTTTCAACTGAGA